AACGTCGGGGTTACGAAGGTCGTATCGCAAAATTAGATCCGATTTTTTTCGGTGTACGGCAGGGTAGTGACACAAGGAGGATAACACCGATCAATGGGAACTTTTCCGCTTTGGGTAGTTTTTTTGGAGGCATAACCTCTGATAAGTGGTTGGCCTAATTGAAAGTAAAAATTAAAAGTGATTTTGAATCTGAAAATACGAGTTTTCGGAACGATTATTTTGAACATTACTATTATTAGGTGGCCCAAGTAAATAAAGTTCCGTACACAACTTTCATAACGCAATACCACCCAAGGACAGGAAGCGAATGAGGTTGAAATGAATATCTCATAAAAGTTCAATGTCTTTTTTGTTAATGCATGTCCTGAAAAAAGGCTTGTTCAGTGATTAGAAGTAAATATACAGTTGAGAGAAGAGGAGAAAGTACGTCATCATACCGATGACACGGAGGGTGGTCGGCCTCGTTGTTATGATGATGCACTCGGTCGGAAGTACAAGATTAAGAAGACACAGCATGTCGTAGTACATCGTATTTAGTACTTCTACTCGTACTGTTTATGTAAGGTTGTTAAAGTTTTTAGAAGGAAGGAGGAAGAAAAAAGTTGATGAATAGAAAACAGGGCAGTATCCTTGAATTGGTATTCCTCTTGGAGGATGTGCTAACTTAATTAATATAATTGCTCTGACTGCTGGCGTGCGTATGCATGTATATCTTCCAAGTTCTCATCTCTCTACTCACGGTGTGAAGACTTTCTCCTCAAGATGAAAAGTACTTTGGGCGAGAAGAATACGTAATAAATAGTTAGAAGAAAGCACTCTTTTTACTTCTCCGGGCAAGCGGAACATTTTATATTTCACACAATTTAGATTGAATATCTACTTTGGCATGACTAATAAGAGTTTGAGGTAGACTTGTACTTATTCTCATGCCTAGGGCATTTCTTTCAGCGCTTATCTACCGGGCATGCATTTTCATGCCCTGTGCACTTTACAACTCTGGTTAGACGGCGAATGAAATCGATTTAAACTGCCATTTTATAGAAAAGGTCATTTACTGGGTGGAACTTTATGTCCACTTTCCATGCAGTTTTACTAAACCGTATATCTCCTCTCAGTATTGGCAGTAAAACGTGGATTATGTATGTATTTGTTCTGATCCTCTAGATATCTCTCTTGCCTTGTCTTTCTTTCCCCTCGTCACTATCGCTCTCCTTTCCTTCCTTGCCTTGTATTGTATTCTATTTAATTCCACGTTGCATCACAACCTTTCTGTCTGTATGTCTGAGTTATTTTATAGGATCTCTCATCCACATCCACCAATCGATTAATTCTGCTGGGCTCAAGGTGGATATATAGTTTTGCTTTTAGTTTAGTGGCTGAGCGGTTTGGTTTGGTCTGGTTTAGTTAGTTAGCAGCGAGGAGGTGAGGTGAGAGGCGAGACGGACAAGTTGTTTGAGTGAAGCTCTGTCAAAACGAAGCTACAGGTGTCCAACCAACCAACCAACATAACTAATAACCACACACACACGGGAGAAAGTTTCCTTGTTCGAGTTCTCCAAAATCGAATCAGACCTCTTTCTCACTTCGTATTTATGTAGTTAGAGGACTAAAGGTAAAACTAGAGTTTGAGTCTTTCTTCTACGTTATCTCGGTGCAGTGTGAGGTGTTTACTTTTAGATTAAATCGCAATTCAGCTTCAGTAGTGTGACAACAATAAATAGGGAAAGTTTTGAGGCTTCGATCCCACTTTTGAAAGGGATTTTCATCCAGCTGTGTGTCGGAAATTGAGATTTGTGCTACAACGTTTTTGTGATCGATGATCGAGTTAACGGAAGGAAGGGCACGACGGATACTTTGCGTTTGTTTGTGAAGGTAAAGGTGAAACGTGAACGTGTTATTTTCTGAACTTGATGTTTTTGTTATCCGGTGTGTGGGATTTGCATGCATGCTTTCGTACATAACTATCGGAAGTGGAATTGTATCGTATTTTGGGGGCTCTAAACTTGTGAAAGTTGGTGGATATTTTTTATCGCATGATTTCGATTTGATGAAATACAACTTGACATCTTTTCCACTCGCGTCGTGACGGAAAGGACGGATAAATGAGTAGATTTGTACAAGGGTATGAAAACGTGACACTTTTATCGGAATTGGTCTGACAACCATTCCGAAACTGTCATAAAAGAGGAGGTTCATTTGCATTTTGCAGCAGTTTTGGGTCGATTGCAACTTGTGCAGATGGGAATCATTTACGTTTCCTCTCCGAAGAGGAGAAAGTACTTTCTCCAACTACGTCTTTACAGCTTTGGCTAACTTCACATGAGGTTTTGTTCCATCATGGATATTGATATTTATTGAAATGGTGTCATTTTATATCTATTTTTCATTCAGATTAGTTGATCTTGCCCAGATTCAATCCTGGTTGGTCCTGACATGAAACTTGGAATTTACATTTATTATTATATCTCCCCGACGAAAATGCACTTTGAGTTAAAAGGGCCAAATCCGACGAGTCGACGACTTTAAAAATTCACAGACAGAATTTTCAATTTCCGGCAACCATTATGCCAAGAGTTGCATACATTCGTACATATGTATGTAAGCATATGTTGCAGAGCTTCTCTTTTTTTGTGTCCCTGTGAGACGAGAGAAGGAGTCTCATTTGGTTAATAATATTTTTGAGATGGGGGAAAGAGAAAGCATATTATGGGCAACAACATGGTACAATAATTTGTAATTTAATTTCTTCTCTGCACGCTTCATGCTGGAGCCACCATACAAAATTGTATGTACGTACGGATTACATAAATATATTTTGTTCTGCTACGGGCTAAAGTATGTATGAAGCACACCCTCATCATCATCTTCATCACATGCATGCATGCATGTAACTCTGTAACACGCCCTCGAGTTTTTGCTGAAATTCTTTCCTTGATATGAAGGAAAATGTAAGAGATTCCAGCCATGATGGAACTTGAATTTATTTGTTTCGGACTCTGACCACACGAATCCGACGGACTATATGTGTCCATATAACGACCAGTATCATGCCAAACCACAGAGTCACGCTCGTCCTTTGGTTTGGCAACCGTTCAACTCAATTCACATATAAATTGCTTCTCTTACATAATTGTAGTCTCATTATGTGGTATGATTCATCTCGAAATTACGGAGTGGTATGTAATATGTACGTAGGGATAAGAGAACGCATGCAGAACGACGTGGAGAATTGGGAAACCGTGAACTTTTATATATTTGATGAGCTGTATAATCCGAGGTGGAAAGATGAGAGTTTTGTTGTACCTTTCTAATTAAAGGGTTAAATTCATCTCGACGCGGTGATAAAGATTTGTTTAATTTTATACGCAAGTTTTCCCATGATCCGAATTTATGGGTGTTATAAAATTTAATCTGGTTGTACGTATGTGTAGTGAGGTGGCCACATTTTAAGTAGTTTTGTCTATCCAATTTAACTCCAGATTATAAAACAAAGCCTGCATTTTCATGAAGGATATAAATGCCAGAAACGAGACCTTTCTCTCGTAATAATATTGCTCAAAAATAGTGCAACCCTGCAGTAAAGGGTGAATCGTATGGTATAAATACAGTAATATCTGCTTCGAATACAAATCGTCCGATACTCGATACTGCGTCGATACCTTTTCTATACTCTGGAACGGCTTTGGTTTTTTGGTCGGTTGGTATGGAAGGATCGAGGTTTTACCGTTTATGGAGAAAGTGCTTTCTCCCATGTTTCCTTTCCACCTTCACTTTTCCCTTCTCACGTTTCGCGTGTCGAGTATGCGGATGGGTTTGGTTGAACGATTTGGCTGCTGCTGCTTTTCGCTCCTCACTCAGTCCGATTAAGTTGGTTCGACGACTGTAAGTGGAAGTTGGATGAATCTTGTACGGCAAATCTAGAAAAGTAAAAGTTGTACAATGTGAGAATTTTCCCCCGTTGGCATTGTTACTTTCGCTCTTGGTGTGTGTGTGTGGGTAGTGGTGTCGTCTTGGTCTCTCTCTCTCTCTCATCAACCTGACTGACTACAAAGAGTGATCTTTTGAAGAGCTAAGGCGAAACTGAGGTCAGTGTTTGGTCGGTAGTATTTTTTTTGTGGTGAAAATAACGAAATCACTTAATTCTATACGTGTTAAACATTGTGTCGTTGAATGCGGTGATTCCCTGCGAATGTATTGGTTTTGGTAGCAGTATTGATTTCCAAGCTCTCTCTTGGGTACGTACTTGGAGGAGAAAGTTGTTCTTCTCTTGTTTCGTTTCATGGTCTTGAGTCTGTGTTAAGAAAAACAATTCGTCTTGTGTTGACACTTTGGGTTGACGTTGCGTTGCCTGGTCAGCTCGCCCTCATCGTTTGCTTCTGACCATCTGAGACTTTTGTTTTCTCAGTTGTCCAATTCAAGTGGGGAAAAAGAGAGGAGAAAGCAGAACCGGTTCGTCGTCGTCGTCGCAAAGAATTTCGTGTGTGGGATGAAAGGACCATTTTTTAGACAAAATGGCTATATAACTTTCGTAATGTGATGCTATCTTGTTTCAAATAGTTAGTTCGTTAGTTAGTTTTTTTTAGTTGAACGAGAAAAAAAAGAACTAGATGAGTTTTTGGAGGGGGGAAAAAGGTTCCAAGTATTGATTCTTTCCCTCCTACATACGTAGATACGTACGTATACTGCTTCCATCCACCACTCGTCCACGTAATTAGTTTCCGCACTTGGCTTTTAATGAGTTATTGGAGGAACGCAGAGTTCAGTTCACTCCACTTGAGTTGAGTTATTATTGATGACTTTTGTCGTAATTATGAGGAGAAAGTTGGATAATTTATGGTTGGATGGAGAGAGGGAAAGCTGTTGATAAGTACATATAGCTTATGTGTTTAGTTGTTTTGTACTCTTGTTCATTCGTGGTATCATTATCATCATTATTATTATTATGATTATCACCGGTTTGTTAACTAACGCCTTATTTTTTTGTTTGTTTCTATTTTCAGGACTGGCTGTTCGGGAAATGGAAGACGAGCGAAGTGGAGAGGATGAATTTTTTTCTCCAGAATGCGCTAAAATGGAGGCTTGGTTAGATGAGCATCCAGAATTCTCAAGAGAGTATTTCATCAGGTAATAATCAAATAATTGGGCATTTATTATATTTATAGCTTAACGAGCAAATATTTCAATCCGGGAGGAGGTTAATGAAATGATTTAGTTTGCTCGCCATTACACCTATTTTTTCCCGTTTAGATATCTCCCTACATAAAAATCTCGATCTAAATACATTTCTTTTCCACTGGCTACATATCTATCTCAATGGTCTAGTAAATTAAGTGAATTTTGACTCTGATGAAACTATTTCTGCGAATCCATTTCCCTTTCCTGAATATCATTTCGTTTGTTCTTCTTGCTCCTTTGGCTTGTTCATCTCAAGAGATTCTCATCCAGTAATTGTCTCAGTTCTTCCACGTCCTCATTATGCGAAGTTGACTTTCTCCCTCAGTCTACATGGCTTGACTGAATTCTGACATGACATAGACTTTCCATTTCCCAGATTAAGATTACAACCAGTACTGTCTAACTGATAGAATTGGAGTAAAGTTGGTTCGTTCTTTGGGGTAAAAGTAGAGCAAAAAGTGAAAATATCTTGGAGCTATTTGCCAGAAAAGAAGCTGTATTTGGATGTGGGTCTCTTCGTCTCGTCTGGTGGGCATCTTTCTCTGTAGTGCAAATAATAAGGATGATCTGGGGATGGATTCTAGATATACGTGTTCATCAGGTTCACTTTTCTCTCTTCTTCTTGTAATCCGCCCAAAATTCTTATTGGGTTCACTTTATTTTCCCTTTTCATCTTTTCCTTTGAATGCTTACAAAGGTAAACGAATAGATTGAGATTGAATGTTTTGCTGATTTTGTGACTCTGGCCTGGGTAATTCTATTTTGCAGTATTTCAATCCACTTTTAAAAATTCATGGTGCCCTGAAAGGGAGAAAATTTGAGAAAAATTCAATTACGTGTAGAATTTGAACCTCTCCTCTAAAGAAAAAGGGAGGCAGGCAGGCAGGAATTTTAGTATTTTGCAACCCATGATGTAAGCCTTTATACTTGCAAATATTGTTTCCCAGCCAGTCAGTGTGCGTATAATGTATGCATGTAAAAACTGTTTGCATGCATCATCATCCACTTCCAAAAATACATCCTGCCTCAGGAAGGACTTACAACCAAACCACCCATATTGAGATTGAGTCGGGGATAAGAGCGTCGTGTGTCAAGTGGGCGATGATACAGTTTGCATTCTCACTTTGTGAAATTGTTGATAATGTAATTGAATTGTTTTCGTTCTTGGAACGAGATGAAAGTCAAATCCTGCTGCTTTCACCTTCACCATGCACCACACCACATCACCAGTCGTCTAGTCTGTGGTAATGGTGAAACTTACCCAACCAACCAAACAATGCCATATTATTATGCATATGTACATACGTATTGCTTGCTATGGGCAAAGAGAGAACAAAGAAGTTTGGTTTTGCAACTTGAGACTCTCCTCTTCATGATTTCTGAGTCTGTCTCTTGAAGCGGTGAGTGAGTGGTCTGGTCTGGTTGGTGACCTCAGTATAATAAGTGCTCGCTTATACTTCTCCTGATGATGGAGTTTTAAAGAAGTGTAAACACACCGGGAGAGTTAAGAGCGAGGCAGAGAATGAAAGAGTGACAGTTTTTGATGTGGTTCTTCTTCTTATGATGATGATGACCTTGTGTAAAGTTTGCTTTATTTGATTTATATAGAAAGGCCCCCCGAGACGTGATTGATAGTTGGTTGGTAGCTCATAGCATCGCCAGCAGTAGTTGCAGCAGCAGTAGTCAAGTAGGAGGAGGGGGAAACGGTCCAGCAGCAGCAGGTGCTCAACATCACCACCTTCCGCATGGGAATGTTCTCAGTCTCGTCGCAGCCACCGGGACAATCGCTTTAACGAATTCGGTAAGTTCGTTCATTTCTATAAAACTATTGCTTTTAGGAAAGGCTTTATCGCATCTCAGTTTTATTTCGCTACGTTATTCAAGGGAAATGATACATCGCTAGGTATTTACTACAGGGTGGTCGACGTCATAAATTACTGGAATTAAAGGACAATAAATTAACAGTATCTGGTAATGCAAACCAGCGCATTTTGAATGACGTAGCTTTCCCCTTGACTTTCTCCTGGGTGAAGTTTTGTCATTTCCCAACAAGCTGCCTAATTCTAATGTAAATGCAAATGTGTTTGTCAGAAAATGGTGCTGGTGATGAAAGTGTTGTTGTAATCGTAAGAGTCGGAACTGTAATTATTGCTGTCTTCTAATGGAAAAGGTGGGGAGAAAGTGCGAGAGTAAATCATTTGAGGTGATTGTAACGTGTGTTTGGGGAAAGTTATGTCGTGGCTGGATACATATCTATAATCACACTTTTATTTCCTTCCTTTTTTCGCACCTCTTATAATTACTCTCTCCTTGATGCAAGTCTGGTCGATTCTGAACGGCAATTTGCAGAGATCGGCGAATTTAGGAAGAGGGGACGGGTTGGGTTTCGCGTCCTTGTTGAATTTCTGAAAAATCCACACACCATCCTTTGCCCTTTGACGAGCTTCTTTTCTAAGGGTCCCATACTCATCCAAGTGTTGGACCTCTGGCTTGGTTATGATGAATCGGGCTCCATCAGGGTGTACTCGATTCCACTCATCAGCGTATTCCTAAAAACAAACGAGGCGGAATTAGTTCAATCTTTGTTGATAATTATTAGTCCAACTGTTGGAGACAACTAAAAATATTATTACCAGCAAGTACGCCTCTCCATTGTGAGCAGAAAATTGGTTATAGCATTGGACAGCTACAACTTGGTGACACTGGTTGGATGGGTCGGACAATAGGATGAATACTGGATCTCTAGGGTCGTAGAAATGGGAAATTCGGGCTGTAATTAAGCCGCCCCGTGTCCCCGAATCCCATTGCCCGATGTAAATGTACATCTTGAAATTGGGATCAGCTAAATTGTCTGCTGTTAGTTGTCCAACACTTGGAGACACGACCAGGATGTACAGAACGTGGGTTGGAGGAATGTCACTTGGATGTTTCGATTTGGTTTTCCTTTTTCTTTCGGGAGTTTGATCATAAGCCTTGCTAACTTGGGAAGTATGATTTCTCCATTTGGTTGGAAGTTCGGATTTCAAGTACGAATTGCACCCATTAGTCCGCTCCACTGCGAATCCTTCATTTTTCACCCAGCGAACATCCCTTTGCATGTGGTAGCCAACCAAGTCACTAAATTGCAGAAACGATGGGTAGTGTTGTTCGTAGCATCCTTTCCCTATCCCCATTAACCAGTCGCGGAATATCACACGACTGATGTGCTGGATCGGGTTGTGAGAGTACTATGTAAACGAAAATTCAATTAATATAATTCAATTCCAATCGTTGGACATCTAAGTTGTTTAAGAGAATATTATAAATAAACTTACTAGGTCAGGTAAAATTATTCGTCGCGTGGTACTGATTTTAACCAACCCTGTGTACTTTTTAGGAATACTTCGTTTATCCATACTTTCATAGTCAAAGAACACTATATCCGGGCCAGGGTTGAATAAGGCAGTCTGAATAATATCCATATTATTGTCATCTTCGGTGTAGTAGTTGTCCAACCGTTGGAATAGGTCTAAATCCATAATTCCAACGCCACCACATCTTGTCCACATTTTGAGAGATTCGATGTGTTCGAAAATATCCTCTCCATCGCACAGGTCATCAACTAGTTGGCGTTGTTCCGGGTCGACGTAGTCGAAACTCTTTTGAATCTCGTCAGACCATATTTTTGTTTTGATTGGAGGACATAGAATGAGTATCCTCTTCATTCCCGTTGATTCTTTCTCCAATACTGCCTGAGCGAATGCTGCGATTTGGACTTCTCTTCCAGGGCCCTGTATATAATTCATAACATATAATTATTACATTTATGTATCAAATCCAACTGTTGGAAAGTAAAAGTAATGAGTATGAGTATGAACTTAATTACAATTAAATAATCAGTAGTGAAGACTGATTCATTCCCTTGAGAGAACTGCTCCAGACCCCCGAAACAAGTCAGATACATATACTTGACTCCCCGAAAGTGGTGAGGAAAGAGATTCCCAATTAACGCTTCATTTATTTCGATACTTTCTCCTTCAACAGTTGGAACAGCCCCCAAGACCAATTTGGTAAGTTTGCCACCCTCGAGTTGAACATAATTATCAAATAATCCAACAATCTGGAAACAATTAGGAGTAAGAAAAAAATTAGTCAAATATAAACGTTTCTCATAATTACATAGAGTTCATTTGAAACTAGGTTAAATTGTTCACCGAATTATGCGTCTCTATAATTCCTTGCCTCCACACTTCCCTCTCTTCCTCACGCCCGGAATTTTGAGCCGGTCCATCTTCGACTCTACTTGGTGAAGCTTTTACATTCTGATGAGATAGTCTGTAACAAAAATGATTCAATTATTACACTAATCCAACAATTGGAATTTAATAGGAAAAATTAATACAACATTTACTTACTCCCCAAATTCACGGCTTTCCTCCTTCTCCTCTTCCTCGTCCGAAGAATAATCCAACGGCTTTGCCGGCGTCCTCTTTAAGAATGGCTTTGGTGAAGATTTCTTGACTTTATTAACTTCCTTCTTCCAAATGTTGGACTGGCGGCTGGAACTTTTAAAGTCGTCGTCACTATCATCATTTTCATCTGGTGTATTCTTAATTGGAAGAGTTGTCTTCTTCTTGGGGATGTCGTCGTCACTGTCGCTGCTGACAGGCAGAGGAATACTTCTCTTTGTTGTTTCTGGAACTATTTTTTTAATACACAAAAGGTTGAAAATAAATTTATTATATTTTATTTAGTAATGTTATCCAACTTTTGGAAATATTACAAATTAACTCACCAGTCTTAAGCTTCTTTTGACGGTCACGACCACCTCGGGGGGTTTCTCCATCATCACTAAGAAAATTGTCATGATGATAATCTTTACTCACTAAACACTTATTTTCAAAGGAGGGGGATGACAGGACATCAATTAACGTCTCTCCTGTAACGACCCGTGCATGATCCTACGTATGATAACAAAACATGAAAATGTTAGATAACTACCTCCAACAGTTGGAATTATAAATGTGATCTTACATTATCGTTCTTTTCCTCTTCTTCTTCTGAATCACTCTCTCCAAAAGAGAAGAGGCGACGAGCATCTACTTGAGATGATGTGTCTTCAGTCTTGTTCACGTTCTTATCTTTTGTTACCTACATATGTATAACTTATTAGGATATGAAAGCAAACTCCAATTATTGGAAAAAAGTTAAAAATACTTAGTACTTAACGTACCTCATCATCATTCTTATCATGGCGTGGTGCATGGAAGGTCGCTGAGGGACGATTTGAGGTTGCTGACGCCGAGACAACACGAAAAGGTCCACGGCCACGAGATGAGTTCGGGTCGGTGAAACGATGTAAACCTGGTTATAAGGGGATTAATCATCATTAGTTAGCGTCCAACTCTTGGAAAGTTTCATATTTATTTACCTGGAATATTCTCTTCACTTCCTCCATGAGGGGTGGTGGTGACTGCAGAGGTAGATAGTCGTAGAGCTAGTTAAATAAACAATAATCAGTACATAAACTGATGGAAGTAGTACGGAGTATACGTACGGAGTAGAGCAGCAAACAGTGGGCTTAATTATTCCAATTGTTGGATATTTAAATTAGTAAAAACTACATTGCCAACAAACTTGAATATAGTCACACTGTAGGTAATTTAATGTCACAAATAATAGATCATAATAATTGGCTACAATGGAGTTTCGAATCTACTCTGAAAGTATATTAATTAAACTGGTTGACTACTGCGTACAAAGTGACTGTAATGGTGGGCGCCCAGCGTAAGAGTTGAAAAGTCCGGGCAAAGGGGGACACGAAACTGACTCACATTATACAAGTAAAAATGACACAATGACTAATACATTGACAGCAAGGACTTTAATTGTCCAACGTTTGGAATTAAAATGGTCACTAACCTTCCATCGTCTCTTGGTACTCCTCGAGAGTGGCGTAATATTCGCCTCCAATATGATAACCTCCATCTTTGAAAAGAATTACAAATGTTTAGTTAAAATATAAACAAAATAATAATTCAACAACTACCTAAATGTTGCTGATCCCCTCCTTTCCACTTGTCTTCTTTTTCGCATTTTCTGGACATTTTTTGTCAACAAAAAAACTATATTCACAAAAGAGGCCAGAATGAGATTAAAGTAAATGAGAAATATCCAACTGTTGGAAACATAAATAAATAATCACCTGATCTTATCAAACAAAGGTTGTATTCGAGGATGGATTAACCACAAGGTTTGACATTTTTGAAACAAATTCAATCGCTAAAAAAATCGACAGCAAATTATTCGCAAGAATATCTCAATCACGGTGAAAAAATGGTTGAAATCCAGTCTCAATACTGCTTGCTCGTAACGTGTCTCAACTTGTCTCACCAGCAGACAAATCAGAGCTACCACTCAATCCATCAATCTCTCTCCTCGTGCAAGTTTGTCAACACGTGCCTCCTTCTCTATCTTAAAGTGATTTTTTTGACAAGGGGTTGCAACAAGGGTGGGATGACGAGGAGGAGGATGAGAAAACGCCGGAATTGAGGATTTTTGATACGAAAACTGTGGAGACGGGGAAGTTGGAGGTGTTTGATAGGGTGAAGTAGTGGGGGGACTGGTAGTTAACTCAGAGGGGAAATGGTGCAGATAGAAGTAATAATCTATTAATAGTAATCATAGTAAATAGTAATCTTTACTCTACAATAGACAATCGCTACATCCACCGTAATTCCTGCGCCTTCATCGTCTCTGGATCACTGCCCGTCTATCTCCTCCGCTGCGGGGACAACGACGACGACTCAGGTAAGAAGACCCATTCTCACTTTCCATTTTTGAGTCGGGTAGCACTTTCTGCTTCTTGGTTGACATCAAAAAATTATACTTTTTTGTTTTACTTTCTCTTTTAAAGAATTTAAAGTTGGGAAAGTTTTTTTTACTCGGAGTGCGAGTGCGAGTTGGGAACTTTTCTACTTACTTTCACTTACCAACTGTATATATATACTTGGGTGTAAAATGATAAAAAAACTTTTTAATTCTCATTGTCACCGCTTTTGTCTTTGTCTCCTATACTGGCTGGCAAGGTGCATGGGATGTGTTAGAATTATGATCCGGTACGCAATAGCAAAGCCCTCATGGGATTGGGAAACTACTTGTTCATAAGCAGATTATACCGTAACATTGCACATTTCCTCAGGTTTGGAGAATGGTATTTAGTAGTTGGAAGGTGAAATCGAATAAAAGAAGCTCCTTGAATGCAGGGTTGTTACAGTGACTGGTTGGTTGGCTGGTGGGTTGGTTGTTGGTGGGATACTGAGAGGGTGGTGATGGTGATGATGGTGGTGAAAGTACAAGTACATGGAGATTTCTGTGAAACCAGGCAAAAACTTAAGCCCCATTAGCAAACCTCTGACTTTGCTTTCTCTTCATTGTCTTCTTCTTGAAAAGCTCTTTATTCACGTGCGCGTTGCTGATTTATGAGGTTTCTTGTGTAACTATACGATCATCACCATGCAGCACCACGACTACACTACCTGCGTGAAGAGAAAGGAGCTCAAATCCGAGTTGAGCTTATAATTAGTACATACATTGAACATCCCAGACTACGTACGTATGTACGTGTGGTATTAGCATGAAGATGTGACTTTTGGGACGAGATTAAGAGACAAAGCAGAAACACGGATATGTAACCACCCCGATTATTAACGTTTCTCTAGGGAAATTCGGGTAAAAGCACTTGTGGCTCTTCCGGGTGTACCACACCTGTTCGTAAGATATCTGCACAAGAATTCGAGCGAGGGGGCCTCATAAAGCCCATGGTCACCACAGTGGACGGTAGGTAGAGATTACTAATTTTTTCTGCGTTTATTTCAATTTTTTTCGAAATTACTGTACTTTTCTGAGATCATCAATTAATAAATGTTTTTTTTTCATCGACCCAAGGCACACCCACTTTCCTCACTCCCCCAACATCAACCACCGACTCTCAAGGACTCACCTCTCGGAAATCCAGGGAAGAACTTCAGGTAAGAAAGCACTTCTTATTATTCTTGTACCTACAATTCCATACCAGTCTGGAGCAAAGTAAACCCATTCTCCTCATTTGCCAATCTTACCACCACCACGACTACGGGGACAGCCAAGTGGAACAGCTTATTTTCTTTAATGACATCCTTTTTCCAATGTTATGGAATTTTCTCAAGCTTTTCTTCCCCCTCTTGTAATGGATGTTCTTCTTCTTCTTCCTCTCAGGCACTCGATGAAAAGGAGCTTTTATTCGAGTTGGCAAAGGATATTTGTGATGAGCTGGATACGAGAACTTTAGCGTACAAGATCTTACAACATGTCGGAGTCCTCACTTCAGGTAAATTGTGGACAGAATAATTTGTTTTATTATTAGCATCCTACAGTCTGGTTCAAGTGCCGGGGGATTGGAACTTAGTACCTGGGAAACGTCACCCAAAAGTTCCGATCCCCTGGACATTTTAGTTATGCAAGTTACAGGGAAACGGAACCCACTTGTCGCAGGATTTAGCGGGCTTCGATTCCCCGGTACCCTCTTACGCAAAAGTTACGATTCCCCGGAACCCAACATTGTTCTTTAATTTTTCATAAATTGGATATATTTCCAAGAAAAAATTTTATTGTCTCAAATTAACCTCCCACCAATGAAGAACATTGGATAAAAAAATTAGAATTTTTTATAGTGGCGTTTTTCCTAAAATCGCAAATATTTGACAAATTTTAGGAGCGGCAAGTCCAAAAAGGTACGGGGAATCGTCACCCAACAATTATTTTCAGGGAAAAATACAATTATTTTACAGTTATTGTTACAATTATTACGTTATAATTGTGTTACAATTATTTTTTTCTCAAAATAATTGTATTTTTCCTTGAAAATAATTGCTGGGTGACGATTCCCCGTACCTTTTTGGACTTGCCGCTCCTAAAATTTGTCAGATATTTGCGATTTTAGGAAAAACGCCACTATAAAAAATTCTAATTTTTTTATCCAATGTTCTTCATTGGTGGGAGGTTAATTTGAGACAATAAAATTTTTTCTTGGAAATATATCCAATTTATGAAAAATTAAAGAACAATGTTGGGTTCCGGGGAATCGTAACTTTTGCGTAAGAGGGTACCGGGGAATCGAAGCCCGCTAAATCCTGCGACAAGTGGGTTCCGTTTCCCTGTAACTTGCATAACTAAAATGTCCAGGGGATCGGAACTTTTGGGTGACGTTTCCCAGGTACTAAGTTCCAATCCCCCGGCACTTGAACCAGACTGTCCTAAATGTACTGCAGTACTGAATTTACATAAACACGCTTCCTAAAAATTTCATTACTATTAATAGCAAGCGTTAGATTTCTGTCTCATCTGATTACAATTTATTCATGTCATTATTTCAGCGGACAGAGCGTCCTTATTTCTCGTTCAGGTATGTACTTTGACCCAAATTACCTGCATCTCATCTCTTCTCAAGAGAGTTCTTGATAATGTTGATATCTTTCATGTGGAAGAGCACGGATAAAAGATTTTTGCCTGTGTGTTATGATGATGAGCAGGGGAAGAAAGGGTCCGGGACTCGGTGGTTGGTGTCCAGTCTTTTCGATGTATGTTCTCAGAGCACGTTAGCGGACATTGATAAAAATGAGGAGATACGAATCCCTTGGGGGTCTGGTAATAATAGCTTTATTCAATTTTTCTCATTATTAAGTTTCTCAGCTTTATGTAAAGAAAGTGAATTACTTTTTAGGCATAGTCGGATATGTGGCGGAGAGTGGGAGCACTGTAAACATAGGTTTGAACCATATATCAATCAATCAATTGCGAACCTATAAATATTGCGAATCCGCAATATTTACCGCATATATTTATTTCATATATTTTATTTATTTTATTTTATTTTATTTAGCTGACGCGTACCAGGTAAGAGAATTAAGCCAGTTTATACATAGTTTCATCATGATAATGCGTCTGTATTACTCTACTCTTGTCGGTTTTTTAGGATGACAGATTTAATCAAGAGATAGATTTGCGAACAGGGTATAAAACCAAAAGTCTGTTGTGCATGCCGATCAAAGACAAGAAGGGAGATTGTCATGGTGTGGCACAGGTATTCTGAGAATGTTTCTGATCTAATTATCCCAGTTATTGTGTAACATCATAAAATCGAATTAATCAGGTAATCAACAAGAAGGACGGGCCCACTTTTACAAAGAAAGATGAAGTCGTGTTTGCAAACTACTTACAATTTTGTGGAATCGGATTGCGAAATGCACAACTTTATGAACAAAGCAGATTAGAAAACAAACGGAATCAGGTAACCAAAGTTGGGTGAAAGTTGGCTCTTCTATAATGAAAGAATGGCTAGTTATTTGGTTTCACGTAATTGCACGAGGAGTTGAGTGATGACAAAATGAAACCTTTTTATTTACTTATTGATTTCGGGGAAATGTCAAATCCATGTTGACGGTGAATGATTACTAATGATTAGTTCATCCTTTGTATATGCTTAATAATAAATTAGCTTGTTGTACTTTGTACCCCGAGTCTGGGCTTATGTACCCGTCATGACATCCGTCTATCGATAAAACTTATGCACGTGTGCCATGGGGCAAATTAAGAATAAAGGTCCAAGATGGGCATGATCAGTTAAGTGGTTGACCGGTTGGGGTCATATAAAGGTCTGGGCTGTTAGATTTTCGGAATAGTTAGAGAAGATATTCGGTAGAATGATTTGTCATATTTACGTCGTAAACTGAAAAATGACCTGGAGGATCCTGCAAATGCACATCAGATCCAAAAATGCTAAGAGTTTAAGAGCACATCGCTATAAATGTAACATTGTTTTTGTCTTTTCTGCATCTTCTTGTGTTACTTTCAAATTTTTTAGTTCAATGAGAGTGAACAAAATCAAACTTGTAGTAAATATGTTAAGTGACCGATAGAATGATAGAAAAAATAGCAAATTATTTTATCTCGTATAATCACCATCAAAAATTTTATGACAATCCGATGATTGAAAGCAATTTTATACAAATGTATAACATGAACTTTCTATTTTTGGTTGCAGGTGCTGTTAGATTTGGCCCGTGTAATTTTCGTTGAACAAAGTACCATTGAAGCACAAATTTATCGAATTCTTACTCACACGTTATCGATAATGCAGTGCCGAAGAGCGCAAGTAAGTTTTATTATTATTATTGTTTAATAGTAGTAGCCAATCAACTACTCGATTCACTTTGCATGAATGCAATTATGTAAAGTGATCCTTTTACCTGTGCCCAAAAGGTATTATTGGTCCATGAAAAGTCAATGGGGACTTTTAGTCGAGTGTTTGATCTGGATGGAGAGGACATGAATGATGATGACGCAGAGTCACGCAGCAGGTTAGTTTATTTATCGGTATACGATAAATTAGAATGTTATACGTCTTTTATCTTTCTATGTTCTGTGAAGTCCTTTTGAAGGGCGATTTCCTATTAATATCGGAATCACTGGATATGTTGCGACCACTGGAGAGGTACATGCATATATCGTAATTATTCGTAATTGCTTTTTTGCAATCATCACATCAAGTATTTCGTAACTTTCCCAGACGGTCAACATTCCAAATGTCTATGAAGATGCACGCTTTGATCCCGCAGTGGACAGTGAAACAGAATTTAAACACCGTAGTATTTTATGCATGCCAATCCGAAACTCTCCGGGTAATTACTATTATTCAATAATAATAATATTCAATATATACAATCATATTGTTCTCTCCATAGGTCACATTATTGGCGTAATTCAGGTACACATACATACTTCGTTAATTTATAGCATAATGCATACGGGATACTTGTCGAGATTGATGCGGGCGAGATTCTACTATTTTGATTTCATTTTGTGTAGTTAATTAATAAATTCGACTCACTCCCGTTTTCGACAAGCGATGAGATGTTCCTTGAGGCGTTTGCCATATTCTGCGGGATGGGAATCAATAATACTCGGATGTATGCAATTTTATGATTAATTACAAAGCGTTATGTAGTTTGTGAAATTAATAATTTCGCATGGTTTATTTTTAGGTATGAAAAAGCTGTAATAGCAATGGCAAAGCAGACTGTGACACTAGAAGTTTTAAGTAAAAATTTGAAAATTAAGTTACACACTTTTTCTCAACCTCTAAAGCTAAAATTTTCAATAAACTAAATTTTAATGAAGGTTATCATGCCAGTGCACCGCTGGAAGAAGCTCACCACCTGCGAGAGTCAATTATCCCATCGGCTCAGTTTTTCAGACTCCATGCTTTTGATTTCGATGATGATCATCTTGATGATTTTGACACATTTCGGGTAAGAAAGAAAGCAAATATTTACTCAAATATGTTTCTGCTGGAGGAAATCGTGTTGGGCAATGCAAATATTTACATATATTTCTCTTATTTCTTCTTTATTTAGGCATGCCTGCGGATGTTTCTGGATCTTGATCTGGTAAAGAGATTCAACATTGACTATGAAGTTTTATGCCGGTGGCTACTCTCTGTAAAGAAGAATTACAGAAAAGTCATATACCACAATTGGAGGTGAACTTTCTCTTAATTGGAAATAAGTTAGTATCAATACTAAAATTGTTAAATTCTTTAAAATAGACATGCATTCCAAGTAGCGCAAATGATGTTCTCAATTGTAACGGTAGGTCCTTCAACTATTATTAATTTAAGATTTCTTGAACTAAAATACCTGAAATTTTGTCTGGAAAATAGGTAACAAAGTGGTGGAAAGTATTAGGTGAGTATAATATAAAGAACTTATTGACTTATGAATAATAATTACCAAGAAGTAATTTAATTATTTATTAGGTGATTTGGAGTGCTTGGGATTACTGATTGCTTGCCTGTGTCATGACCTCGACCATAGGTAACATTCATAATACTGTAATTGAAATAAACACACATTATATAACATGCCGTAAAATCCAAATTTGATCTTGACCATAGGGGTACAAATAACTCGTTCCAAATTAAGTAAGTTTTTACATTGCACGATTATCAAATATTTTGATAAATTATTTATAATCTTTAATAATCTTTGTACCTCAGAGCGTCGTCGGCCCTGGCTCAACTTTATTCTACTTCAACCATGGAACGCCACCACTTTGATATTTGCATGATGATTTTATGCAGTCAGGTTGGATATTAGTTATCAAGTGGCTATTTTGAACGTTTTGATAAGCAATTCTTAAAATCCTTTTTGTCTGCAGGGTAATCAAATTTTGTCGCAACTGTCCCCAGATGAATACTCAAGAGTAATTAGTGTTATTGAGGATGCCATTCTAGCAACAGGCAAGCAGGCAACATTTTTCTTAAAGACGGTTCTATATTTAAAATTTGTGGCACGCTTAGTAGAATAATTTGTTCATAAAAAAAATATACCAGCGAAACAACAAAACAAGATTTATGTAAGCATTTTTCGTCTAAAAACTCTAATGTTAATTTCAATTTTATTCCATGTACTGATACAACCCGACTCCTCAACAGATCTCGCTGTATATTTTAAGTACGGAGAAATTAAGAATTTCAGCGAATATGAATGATTTGTCTAATAAGAGATCCGTCTTGATTAGTATATTGTATAATTTTAGGAATCGTGGTGCTTTCATGGAGTTAATCGGTAAGTCATAAAGTCATGTATGCCAAAATGCTTTACTTAATATACATATTATTATTACAGATTCAAATTCGTATAATTGGACTCAGGATGATCATCGAGGGCTGTTAAGAGGGATGTTAATGACTGCTTGTGACCTGGCTGCCATCACAAAACCTTGGGAAGTTGAGAAACGAGTGAGCTGGGGTTTCCCTTAAAAATCAGTTTAATTTTAATTCTGTAACTGTATGCACGCGTAACTTTTCAGATTGCCGAATTAGTTGCATCCGAATTTTTTGAACAAGGTAAACCTAATTAAAGTTAATTAATCGCATTCCACGACGTATCACTTATGTATATTGTCTTATTTGTTTTTAAGGTGACATTGAGCGAGAAAAGTTGAAGATTGTTCCTATTGTAAGAAAACCATAAAAATGTTACAATTTCAAAGCGTGTTGTAAATGTTAATCCGATATTGTGATTTGTGATAGGATATGATGAACCGAGAAAAGAAGGACGAACTACCAACGATGCAAATCGCTTTCATTGACTCGATATGCGAACCTGTTTATGCGGTGAGTTGTATTACATCATACTATTTTCGTAATGTAGATAATTTGGTTTAATGTCTCAAAATGTGTATTTATTATAATTTCCAGTCCTTTGCCCACCTTTCCCCAAAATTGCAGCCCTTACTAGATACCTTACTAGACAACAGAAACAACTGGACTCAACACCCCCTCAAAGAAGACGAAGAAAACGGACAATCTCAATCTCACCAATCATCATCATCTTCAACAAAAACTTAAATATTTATTTTAAAAAGCTACACAAAACTATTTAAATATACATATTTGTCAAAAGTCAAGAGTCTTAAAACCGAACAATTGCCACTATTTTTACCTTGGCGGATCATTGTTGTGAACATACACATTTAGCATAAATACATACATAATACAAAATAATTTATAAATGTTTGTATTGAAAATTAATTTTTTTGTGAGATTGGATTTGTGATATATTTTGCGTATTAGTCTATCTACTAGTTAACAACAAAAGTGAGACATTTTAGTCATGATTATTTAGCATTCGAATTTTGTGCGTTAATTTATACATATATTATACAAACAAGTACTTTTAATTATGCTTATTGCAATGTGATAACTTTTTGCTATAACTTTTGATTTTAACAATTTTATCTTGTTGTACCTGTTGAATTTCACATGTAATGGAAATGTATATTCTCTACCTCTTTGATGTTTATAATGCTTTGTTGCTTTTTAATTTGATGATTCACATCTCTCATGTCAGTAACTGTTATACATTTACATATACCTGAAACATGTCTTCTTAAAATCATTAAAATAAAAACTGTGAACGTTACCTGTAATTCATAGTATGGTTATTGCTCTCTTTTATTTCTCTTTTTCCGTAGTGAAAGTAATACATGAGTTATTGCGAGATTTCAGGAGTGAAAATTTAGGTGCCTGGCCCGTCGACCAACCTTTTAAATTTACCAAACGGTATCGCCATTAGGTTCTGATAAGAACCAACCTTAAATTTAAAATAAATTAGTATAGGAAATTAATCGAAATGAATAAAGTACAACCAACCTCTGCCGATTTTCCGTCCTCGATTACAGCAATTTTTGCTAAAAGTTATGAAACAATACAATAATGTTCCTAAGAAAATTTATGATGTAATGAGTTACCCGCTATTTTGATACTGCTCATGCGATGCGCGATAATAATGACCGTTCGATTTTTCCCAATGCCGTCCAATGCTTCTTGAATGAGTCGCTCGTTTTCCAGGTCACATGCAGACGTAGCTTCGTCAAAAAGGAGGATTTTCGGGTTCTATTATGCACAACACGTTATTAGAGTAATGTAACTAGCATCACTTTATATTTCAGTTAATGCCTCACCTTAATTAGAGCCCTTGCGATTGCAATTCTTTGACGCTGGCCGCCGGAGAGAAGTTCACCCCTTTCTCCAACCAGAGTTTCAAACTTGTCAGGGAGTCGTAGAATGAACTCGAGCGCGTTGGCGTCTTTCGCCGCCTTGTAAAGGAGCGAGTCCAACTGATCTGCTGGAATATTAGTCCCAGATGCCATCCCGTACAATATATTGGTACGAATTGACCCCGAGAATAGGACCGGGTCTTGCGATACATATCCGATTTGACGTCTCAACCACTCTGGCTCCAGGGATCGGATATTGACTCCATCCAATTTTATTGTACCTTCGCCATCTAATTTTTCACCAGAATATATATTTTTCATAAATAGTGAGATTTATTATACTTGGATTAATCAAGCGGTTTACCTTTGACATCGTAAAGACGAAGCAGTAATCGAGCCAATGTCGTCTTTCCTGCTCCACTAGCTCCAAAAACAGCGAAAATTCCACCCGCCGGAATGTCCAAATTGATTTCCGATAAAACAGGATTATCCGCATAAGCGAAGGAGACAGAATGAAATCGAATGTTGCCCTCAACAGTGTCAAGCGTTCTCGTTCCTTCGCCCACATCCGTCTCTTGCCCTCCTTTTCCGGGCAAGGTTTCGATCACTTCTTGAATTCTTTCCGACGCAGACATACCCTTGACCAAGCTGGTGTAAAAGAATGAGACCCCTTTCATAGCCTTTCCCACGACTCGAGCATAGAGAAGAAACGTTATCAGGGTTCCTGGGCTGATGTGACTTTGGTATAGAAGACGTCCACCCCAGTACATGACCCCCACGATCATTACGCCATTACTCAAATCCATCGCAGAATGAAAAAAGGCGTGGACGAGGGTGGATTTCCATGAAATTGCGAGCACCTTGTCACACTCGGTCGAAAAGTGGGAAATTTCTTCGGATTCTTTGCAGAATGCTCGAACCGTTGAGACTGCAGAAATCCGCTCGTGTGCCACCTATTTAGAAGGTCATATTGAATTTATTTTCGTACATATAACCAAGAAAATTTAGTTGACCCTTGACCTGCATGGAATTTGCTATCCTCGATTGTACTTCGGCACGGAGGTAGCGAAGGCCAAGACCTAAAAGCAGCGTGAGACCGGCAAGGGGTATAAAAATGCAGAACGCCACAATGGAAAGAGATCGGGACAAAGTGATCTGGAAATTGCATAAATACGAAATTATGTATCTTCATTGGCTCATTAATAATAAAATTAATGGACAAATGCCAAATATCTTAATCTCACCATTTGGTACGTAAAGACAATAACGGTAAAAATTTCGCCAAGACCCTGAGCGAGTTGCTTTGTGGTAGTATCGGCCAAGAGATTGGCATCATCAGAGAGGCGATTTATAAGGCCGGCGCTTCCATAATGGTCAAAAAATGTCATGGGTTGGATAAGCATGCAGGAGAAGAAGCGAACCCGAATTCTATTCCGGACGCGGTCAGCTAAAAAGATGAACGCATTTATGAACACATATCGAACATACATAACTCCACCAAAAACACTTACCTGCTGTCTCCAAAAAATAATACTTGAAAAATGCGAGGGCTGAGAGGAATGCAAAGAAGCACAAAATAACGGTACATGATTGAACCAAGACCTCAGATTTACTCGAGATGGTGTCAATTAATTGACCAAAACGATGCTGTAATCCTAATGATACCAGTGAGGTCATCATCACGATACCAGTCCCCACTAGAAATTTATTAAGCAAAAATATGAGACCGAATAATTGATAGAGATTTGACAAATTATCGCTTATCAATGGCTACTACAAGTACCACAAAGGTTCAGATTTTCAGAAGCAGCCAACTCATACATGGTCTCCAACTTACGCATTTTGCAAAATTTTGAGATTTATATAGGACAAAAAGTTAACAAAAAGATGGGTATTGCATACAATACTTTATTTCAGTGATAATGACATGTACATAAATGCATCCGATTTTGTAGACATTTCACTCGAAAAAGATTATCTCAACGAATTTCCACCGAAACTCAGTAAAAAGTTCAGGAAAGGAAACCAGAATCTGCATATTGCAAAATCGCAAATCTGCATACAAATATTTGCGATATGTAGGCATGAAAATGTTGAATATGAAAATGTCTCAACTGCGATTTGCGAGTGGGACTTAAATTTGAGAGGGAACGGTTTCTTTACTGTTGTCGGTTGGGAGCTTCTTTCCTTCTCTCTCTCCTCCTGCATTCCCTTTTCGCTATCACTTATCACTGATAAGTTATCACCGCTCTCTTTTAGGTTCTTGGTCGTGGTCACTTTGGATATTTCAAGTTTGTAGTTCTCGAGTGATGAGTACTCAAAAGGTCACTGCTGGTGCCGGACTTATTGTGAATTGAACTCGACAAAAAGTAATGGACGACAGTTGGGCCGAGTTGAGACGCCCAATAACAGCTTTCAACGACATTAGTAAACGAGATAAGCCACCACCGACAAGATCTGCATCCAAACAGCAGCAAGTCGTCAACACCACCAGGTTTCAAAAACATGCTATTTTTTATCGGGTCTTCTTCTAACGATTAACTAATGATACATCTACAATTATTCCATGACCTTTCATTCATTCCCCCACAGAGCAGCAAAGGTGACTGTCGTTGAAGCAGTAAAACAAGGGAAAATAGACTTGAAGTCAAGACTCGCAACTTCTGGAATTGCGGCTCGTCGTTTAGAAATGGCGATGAATCAAAAAACGAAAAGGGCCGAAACCCAATTTGCCAATCGAGGAATTGATGTCAGACAACTAAAGAGCTCTTCGGGGTCGGACCCGTCTAGCATTATGTCCAGTAGCATTACGTCCAGTGGCTCCAACATGACGAATGGGTCAACAGTAGTGGCATCATCCGAAGCGTCTACTACGTCCGAAGCCAGGAGGAAACAGCTCAATAAATGGAAGCAAGAAAAAAATGCGATGCAAAATATAGCGGATAAAAAACCAACCTTTAAGGTAATGCAGATGAATTAGCAAAGATTTAAAAATTATGTGCTTCATTCCTATTTAATTAATTTAAATATTATAGCCTGGAGGAGTATCAAGTTTAAATAACAAACCACAACAGCTACCACCACCCCCTCTCATTCGACAGAAAAATTCTAGTGAGGAAAAGAAAGTCGTCCAGAAACCCCCAGCTCCCGTCCGAGCTGCTCAACTGCCACCAGCAAAAAAACCTTTAACGAAATCAAATGATGGTGGGGTGCAAACTCAATTACCCGAACGTCGAGTAACTCGTGCAATGGCTAAAGGTATGGAGGTAGAGCCTAAAGGAAAAGCTGCAACCAAAATTGTCGCCAATAATAGCAGTAAGAGTAAGACCATTTTGCCACAAATGAAAACCCTGACTATTAATGGAAATAATCGGGCAGCCGTTAAAGCTGCGCCCTCGTCGAAGACGGTCATTGGTGAGTTAATTGCTTAAATTACGTAAACGGAATGTAGGAAAACAAGGGTAAGGTCCTTTTACGTCTATGTATAGGTCCCCCTGCGACGACTAAAAATAAACTTCCTGCCACAAATAACAGAACCAAGACTACAATAATGCCTAATGCGCCTGTTGAAAACACAAAGCCTTTGTCTGTGATAGCTAATGACAATGAACCAGTCAAAATGGACGTAGACCCTCCTGAACCTAAGATAATCTTGGATCAAGAAAAGGAGGTCAGCAAAAAGGAAACTGTGGCAAAGAAACATAAGCCGCAAGCAATTGATGCCGTTTATACTGAATACAAGTGCGATTTAAAATTACTGCATTTCATTCTGATCTCAGCAGATCAAAACTGTTAAAAAATATTATTTAATTGTTTGCAGTCTAAAATTCTCGCAAGCATTACAACAACTTTCAAATTATTACGAGCAGTGGCAGAAAATAAACGATAACGACTCCATTGAAATTCCTACCGAGATAAGGGATGATATTATTAGTACGTTGGGGAAAGTTCGCCTACTCCTGAGTTCTAAATTACCACAATTTGTGGAACTTTTGTACTCTTATTTGTGCAAAGGCGTGACTCCCTCAATATTAGAATGCGATCTTCAGGGTTGGTGGGACGTAGCTTATATTCAGGTTCGACAGACTTACTTAGAACAACCGGAATCAACCATATGTATTAAATATTAATCGCACCATTAATTTCAGGTTTCACTTGTATTCAGTGAATTTGAAAAGTTGTCAGAACTTGAATCGAATAAGTGGGTTCGCCAAGAAATTGTCAAGAAGAAGCCTCCTCCCCCAACTTTGAACGGTATGAAGGGAATAACGAAAGTACAAGGGACAGTAAGCAAAGGAATGAAAGAATTTCTTGCCAGTAAGTAGATATTAGTTTTAGATTTTAGAGTTCATTTGTTGAATAGATACATTGTTACGTGATTTCTTTGTAGTGAAACGAAAGGTGAAGGTCGCCCAGAATGACTCAGAAAGTCCAATTACAACGAGTGGTGAAACTGCTATGGATTCTTCATCCTCTGGCACATCGAATGATGAAAAGAAATTTGAAGGAGGATTTTTCGTCATCCAAAGTCCAGCCCGTTCAACAACAACGACCGGTACTGACTCGCGTCGAGCAAGCTTGCGACGAAATGGTTTGTGTGCCCATCATGATTGGGGAAAACTATTTAAGTGATTCATTCAATCATTTACTTATTTTTTTCAGAAAATTCGCCAATCGTACCTAGTACCCGGCCCACTCATACACCAGGCGGTCGTCGCCTTAGCACAAGCCTGAGTCTCAGGTCGCTTACTCTAAGGAATTCCATGGGTCCCCTTTACAAGGTGTGTGTATAACCAATAACACTTTGCTACTTATTTACAAAAGGCGTTAGGTGATGGTTTTGACGAATTCTCGGGTGAATATCTTTGGCGGGGAGTTGAATTTTGAACTGATTTTTGGTAGGTTGCAAGATAATACTCTCAAAAAGATATCTTTAAAATTTTAGGGTGATAGCTTCACAAATGCACCCTACAGTGCCCCCGGAGTTGGTAGAAGCCAAAAAACACTTTCCAAACTTAATTGCTTATATAGCATGATAACCAAAGAGGTCAGAGGTGAATGATTGTTAATATAATAACCCTAGATAATCATTGCATGTAATAATAAAAGAATCCGTAATGAATCACACAACGTGGGCCTTCCATCATCGCGGATAGTTTGCCCAAAAAATGATAAATCAGACCGTGCGCGGAAAAATTAACCTGCTGACCTTGAAAGTTGACCCACCGGGTCAAATGCAGCTTGAGGGTAAAGCTGGAAGTGTCCTAAGTAATATTAAAACAAACAGTCAAGATTTTGTGTAAACAGTTTTATAGAAGGACCCGAGCTAATCAGCTGTCGCAGAATCCTAAAAAACTCGTGAACTTATTTGGAAAATTAATGGTCAAATTTTTTCGAAAATAAATTTTAATAATCTTTTGGTGTCCCCTGCTGCAGAACTATTTTATCTACAAGGTACAAGTGACAAAATAATAAAATTATTGCGTTTTGGTTAGTTAAATTATTTCTGAAGTTCGACATCGAAAACGACGGGAACTTTTCCAAAAAGTTTATAAGGTCTGATGAAAACTCAGTCCGTGGGGTGTAACCACTTATCAAAATTTTGTCAAAAGTACTTACAGTGCAATATACTATATGTACCTTGAATAAAAACCACGTAAGGGATTTTTAGCATCAAAGTCGTAAAATGTGGGGGCCTTAAAAGTGGAAGAGTTGCGTTAAAGAGCGCATTTCATTAGGACAAGTATGAAATTAGACTGTAAAACGGACTTAAAAGATAAGCATGAGGCAAAAGTGGTTTTATATAGTGAAAAGCATGCTAAGTCCCTTAAAAATAGTCGCAAAAACTATTTTTGCATCAGGACCTCAGAAAAAAATATTTTGTTCAACGCCATTTTATAACAACACTGGTTTGGAAAACTAAAAAAGGACACCTCTCCAAATTTGACCTTGCCTCATTTCGCAGAGTACACAAAATCGGAAGCCAGATATGCTTACCTATAGTTTGAGACATGGGCTTTCAGATAAAAAAAGTTAGAAATCTCTATGACTAAAATCCATCCCGCAATTAAGGCATGAATTCGTCAAAACCATGTCCTAACGCCTTTTGTACACCTGTTGTTTGGATTTAATTTAACAATAACCGTTACAATTCCTCCAGCTTGGTGCCGTTCCCGCAGACGATATAGCTTCGCATACCAATAATGCTTCAGATACATGTACAAATGTAATGGATGGAACTGGAACCCCATTGAAACGATACTACGAAGGACGAGGGTTGCCTGTTCCCAATGCTAACATAGGTAATTGAAGAACTTTAGTTTTCGTTCTCTTCAAGCGATGGAAATTTGTGCCTTTATAATGTTATAAGCTAATGGATAAAAATTGTACGACTTATAATTATATTTAGCTTAATTTTTTATATTCCTCATTATTTAAATGAACTATAAGACACTCGTATGTGTAGCGTTTTCCAATGAAATTTGCTTATCGTAATTTTATCATTGGGGTCCAAAAATTCCCAATTCTTAATCCGCGTTATTCTGTAAAAATTGTCATATGTGACTAATATATAAAATCAGTAAAATAAAATAATCCAAATTTTAACTTGCGGGAAAAATTTCACAGGAAAATCAAAAACCAATTTTTTGGTTTTTCTTACAAATTTATAGCGATCGAAACAGGAATTGATACACTTAATACAATGCATATGTACATATTTGATATACGTGAATGTGCTTTTCAGATGCAAGCAAAAATTTCAGCCGTTGCATGCTTTTGAGACGGAGTTTATGGAATAACTTTACATGGAACTTTACATGTGTACAAATGGGTTGTTGCGTTTTTGTACTTACTCAAAGGGAAAATTTGCCATTAGTGCATTTTATTACATTTTTTCATATTATTAAGAGTTACTCAGAACGCTAAAATAGAGCTGTAGTTGCGTAGTTATTTCTTCACTTGTCAATCCGCACTTTGAGTAGAAGATGTCACAAGAACTGAATCCTGTGGCGTTGGCCCCATTCCGAACCGCCTCCTGATATAGTGGCATTATTTGGCTGGATTTCTCCTGAGGGTTTTCATCCAGTCTAAATAACGAAGAGATAATTGCTGGCAATTAATAGAACATATTTACCAATCATTTGATATATACACCACAAAATCTCACTTTTTAAGCATAGCCAGCGTCCCCACAACTTGTGGGGGAAGGGAATAACAATTCGACCTTTGTAAACTTTCCAACTCGCATAATGCTTTTAACAGGCAGTCGTTCTCGTCCAAACGGCGCACTACCTATTTAAATATCCAGCACATTTAAATACTGCTTGTGACCATTTAAATTACTCGCGATTTAAAAGCATACCGTGAGCATGGAATCAATCAACTTTACATTCTCATCGAAATCATTTTCCGATACACTGTTTAGAAATCTCTTTTTTCTTTTCCGTTTGGAGACCGCAGTTTGGAGGAGTATTCCCTGTTCGATCCACTTTGTATAGTCGAGTGGAAGGATGAGAAGGTAGCGGAGGACGAAAATTTCTAGGATCAGTAATCCCACAATGATAGCTTCAAACTTGCCGATTGTGAGGTACCAAGCGCTGGATAGAAAATATTAGTCAGAACTGAAAAAGATTTTGCATGTTTTATTATGTACCTTGTCATGCTGGTCATCGTAATTCGGTGGAAAATTCCCCCTTCTGCCCCACCCACTAATAGTGCGGCAGTTGCACCACCCACACGTAAACAGGGAGCTAACATGATCCCTTATGAAAATACGATGGTGAGATTTGTCATTCAATGGTGGAATTGTGTGCCATTTATTTTGGTGATGAGATGCAGTGATAATTACCAAGTCCAGTTATTTGATTCACAACACACTGACCTGCTTCACCCATATTTCTGTTTAAAATTACCCCAATCAGTACATTGTTATAAGACGATGAAAATAAGTAGGAGACCATAAATATTTATGTATATATCTGTACAACAAACTTGTATTACAAGCTTTATAAAAGTGATATGGCACAAAAATTAGAGTATTGCATAATAATACGTGAAAGAATAGTATACTGACAATCTTTTGTATTTGAGTCGTGGGATAAATCATCGTTGGTAATGCGTATCCAATTTTGATTCAATCCATCTATGAAATTTTCCAACCTTTGTGAATACAGCGTAATATTTGTCTTCACAACCTCCGCCCCCAGTGCTGAAATTTTAGAAATTAGAAATATTCCTTAATAATCGTAATTTGTAATGTAATGTTTATTTGAAGAACCTTTTAGCAACACCAGCGCTAACAATTCCTTGTACGTTGAAATGACGCCTGCTGTCTGAATCCAGAAAGACTAGACCACCACCACTAAATGTATGATAAGACGGTGGATAAGATTGTTCATGATTAAAAAAATTGACTCAAGATTAATTTTTACCTGTCCCCATCACACGCTGAAGTACCGTTTCTATACCCTGCGCAGAAATTTGTTGATCGCACTAAAGAAGCAAACGTCTGATGTGCTGCTTTACACGTATGAGAATCGACCACGGGAATCGTTGCCTCTTGTAAATCATCCTTGAATCGTCCCCCACTGGTTCGTCCCCAGCCCACTAAATGACCCGGATTTCCAGGATGAACATCTTGAACTTTGTCATCGTCCGGAAAGCAAACGGGTCTCACGTAATCGTCAATGATGGCCGGCTTTAAATTCAAAATATTAGTGTGAAGAGCATATTTGCTTAAATCAGTCGGCTACGCATATTTTATACTCGTCGACTTAAGTACCGTGTCCAAAAAAATTAGAGCAATATCGGATTCCAAAGTGTTTTGATTGTAGTCAGGATGCACTTCAATGAATCTCACTCTTCTCGTCTGTTCACCATTATCGTGCCGGTTGAAACTTTAATTAGAAAATTAGTCTGAGCTTTAGAAAATGTATAGCTAAGAAGTTTAAAAAAATTTTAGATCGGAATATTCACCTGCGGTGAAAGCGACCTAGTCCAATTTGTATATCATGAACTGGAAGTGGCATCTCTGTGAACTTTTTTGTGGTGCAATGGGCAGCTACAATTAAGAATTAAAATTATACACCATGTAAATACCATGCATAACAAATTATTATGAACAACAATATGTAACTGTAACCTGTCAAAATTGCTTGTGGAGTAATAAGGCTGCCACCACATTTCAAGTCCCATTTACCCGAATTTGGGGGATCTTCATGGAATAATGCTGCGTATTAAGAAATGCATTTAATTACATGCTTTACACCTTGACATTCATTTTATATTACGATTACATTACCTGCATGCCAGGGCCACTTACCCCGCTTGGAGGAAACCTATATACATATTTTTAAAATTAATGAATTAATAAAATTATTGAAAAACGAGAACTTGTTGATATATACGCACCCCACCAGTCACAAGCCCAGCCGTGTCTGACCCTCCAATACCACATTCTAAACTGCACACAAAATTGGAACGCCTCGTTGTCCACTGGCCGTTATCTTGACATTTTCGCACCGTCGTGGAACTCCCAACTCCAGCGAGTCTATAATATCTTGCGCACCTGTAGAATGATTGCGCAATTAATAACTTCGATTTCTTCATGGTACATAAATATTATATGCATAATTATTACTTGTAAGTCGCAGTGGAACCATGGGGCACTGCTGCAGTACAATTACCCAACAGTTTCCCATATTTATTGTGACACGATATGTCAAACCCGGCCTGAATATTTTCAGTGATTGGTGAACATCCACCTTTTGGGGGAGATGGAGCAGGTCGAGGCTGACTTTGAGGAGATTCTTCTACTGGCTGAGGAGGCGGTGGTCGAGGTCGAGGTCTTGTTTGTTGAGGTCGTGGCCTCGTAGTGGTCTCCTTTGGTTGAGTTGCCACGGGTGGGGGTGAATCTGGTGGTGGGCGACGAGATGGTGGTGGTGGTGGTGGTGGTGGTGGGGGAGGTTTCTGTGTCGGCCGGCCGACACAAGTATCCGTTGATTCGTCCGTTGCACCTGCAGGTATTACGTAGAAAACAGTGGAATTGCAATTTATTTAGTGGTATTTAAGCTTCCTTACCCCAACAATCTGGCGTTCCATCGCAGGTTTGCTCTCTCTTGATGCAACCTCCAAAACGGCATCGGAATTCATTCTGCGGACTGATAACTTCATTAATACTTCATTAATTGATAAGTTGTTGTGTATGTTTAATTACTGGCAAGGGGATGATAACACTATTTTTGTGCAGTCCCACTGATCGTTTCCTAGATAAGTAAATAATTATGTAAGTGTAGTTTACAGGTCATGTTTTTCACGTGAAATAAACTTGGCGTGAAAATTTCACAAAAATTTACACAAGCACAAAATAATTTCTCACAGGATTCACTCTGCGTTATTTTTGTTGCTGTGAAATTTTCACGACAATTTCATTCCGTGCAAGTAACTGACCTGTATACTTAGCTTTAAGATGATTAATTTTAGATATTAAGCTATATGAGATTCTTGTTATACCTCGCTCATCCTCCCCTTGAGGACAGTCCTTTTTGCCTGGTCGAATAATTATCATCTACGTGTTAACATCTTATCGACCATGAGAAAATAAAATTTGATACTTGCCATTGCAAAGCTTCTCCGTGGGCAAACATTTTGATCCGTCGTCACAACGGAACTGATTTATTTTGCAGGCATTTCTTAACTGAGAATTGCATCCTGAAAGTGAAAAGTTTTATTTAAGTCTTCCAATTTGTTCGTAGCATTTTCTGTCTCACCTAAAATCGCACACACCAAAACCACTGAAATTTGTAACAATACTCTCTTCATTATTGTACTTTTTTATATGAGATCAGTCAAATCCCCTTTACTGGCATTGTTTGATTGACAACTTAAGATTCTACAATTAATTACACTGTTTAAAATGGATTTTATTGCTTCTTAAACCGTGATAATTTACATATAAACCAAGTCTTCTGCTGAAACAATTAATAGTAAACTCTTTCTTCGCATACATACATCTAAATTACGTGCTTTAAGCAATTATGGAGTCGTCAGCAAGCAGCAGCATCTCGATCCTCACCTTTGCACAATGTAAATTCAGACAATGGATGGATCTGGTTTTAGGTATGAATTGTGGTGGACAAGGTTAATACATAAGTCGTCTCATCTTTTGGTGATGCTGATTAAAAAGTCACGAATAAAAACTGGTTCCCTCTTTTTCAGCAATTTTAGTTCCAAATAGTAATTAATTTCGTGAGCTTTTCTCACTCAACAATTTATGGCAAAATCTTCTTTAATAATGCTGCGTATATCAGTGTTTATGTATATGGCGTATGTAGTAGTATGTACATATTCTTCTTATTTTCGTATATGTACGTATTAATTTTCTATGTAAAAATATTAATAAAAAGATGAGCAAAAAAGATATTTACACATTTGTACCAAATCCTTCTTGGAAAATTGATTGATGCAATTTATTTGCAAATTTCCATGATGCAAATATTGTGAATATTACTGAATGTTTACAGTACAGGAAACTTGTAACATCATAATTAATTTTGTGTTTGATTAATTTTGAAGTGGCATGAAATTGACCTAATGCAACGTCACGAAAAATATCTCTAAATGATACCGGCATTGAAATCATATTTCTCATTGTAACTTATGTGTAAATTGGAACTACTTAATTACAAAGCAATTGAATGTAATTGATCCTTGTTGAGTTAGATGATATGTTAGTTAAGTAAGAGATAAGGAACTGTGAATATTAGCATTTTAGGTACTGTACTTTACATCTGTTACCCACTGGATTGAATTGAATAAATTTAAGCCCAAATTCTCAAGTTCATTTGCGTTTAATAGGTACATATGGGTATATGTATGTAAATGTGTATGGAGAGATATTGATTTGCATATATAAAACTTGTATTACTCTGGTCTGACGGGACAGTTAAGTAATAACTTTTACATGTAACAGTTGGTGTGTATCTGTTCTGTCTCTTACAATAAAAAATACATACTTAAATATTTCAGCGTATTAATTCGTGTATTTGCGTTTTTGGAAAAAAACATCTCTGAAATTAAGGACCATGTCGTCATCTCCAGTACCTGAACTGAAGCCAGGTCAGACCATCAGGCCGGTCGTTTCGATGAATCAAGCAAGAGAAATGATCCAGACATATTTCGGATTGGAAGCAGACAATTTCAAAGAATTCAACAGTTATGATGACAAAAATTTCTATTGTGAGGTAAATAATAATAAGTCAACCATGGTGGGGTGAAGTTTTTGATAAGTGCGGATAATTTATACTAATTTTACTACTACTTGTTTTGTTATATAGATTGGAAAACCATTCAAGAAATATAACCTCAAGGTCTTGAATTCCATGGACTCTAAGAAAACTGCACATGTCGAAGCCGAGCATGGCATCATGTTTTATTTATGTAAACAGTTTTTTTTTACTAATTTATGTACTAGTTGTTAGTAATTGGATTAATATTAAACAACTCTAAATATACAGCTAGTAACAGCATTAATTGTCCTGTCCCACACAAAACGGTGGATGGAGAGACCTACAAAGTTGTGTCAATTCCTCGGGAAGATGTTGAAAATGGTATTGAACAAAATTAGATAAATATATGTCTAACTAAGTGTTATAATGTTTACCAGAAAATAGTGAAACTGCCACCAACGCGATGCATTTGGTACGATTGTTAAGCTACGTCGAGGGACAGATTATGTATCACGTTCTCATCAGTGAAAAACTTTTGTACAAGACGGGATTATATATTGCAGAGGTTGAAGAGCTTTTAAAGGTAGGAATTAGCGATCTTCTTAAGCCCATACTTTTTTTGAGTTAGTTTTTACGACTAATTTTTGTCAGGCGTGTGAATACCCTGTGTTGAAAACCCACACAACTTTATGGATGATGAGTGAAGTCATGCAATTGCAGGTATTGATAATCCAATCACTGTAGTTATTGGATATGAAACAGTGAAGGTATTTACAGTAGTAGGACATAATAATCTGCATTTTATTTGCAGAAATTCGTATACTGCATTAAAAAAGAATCCGATAAGTTCAACTTGGTGCAGAGCGTTCTCAAAGGGTACAAAGAGAACATCGAGCCTATACTAGATTCCCTGGAGAAAGGTGATTTGCATGAGCATAATAATTTAATTGTTATCAATTACATCAACTATGGTGCTACATCCTTATTTCAAAAATAACATTTCGCTAGGTGTGCTTCATGGAGATTACAACGAGCAAAATATTTTAGTTTTGCCATCCCAAGTAGACAAAGACGACTATGATATATCAGGTAACTGATAACTGCTGTGGGTTATCATAAATAAGTGAAATTGTACCCTTTCTTAATTACATTTTGGTTTATTTTTGGATTTTTTATAAGGCATCATCGATTTTGGAGACACACATTGGGGGCCGTACATTTTCGAGTTGGCGATAACCGTGTGTTACATGATGTTGGAGTCTATGCGATGCAAAATTGTGGATCCCTTTGATGCCGTTGGCCATGTGGTTGCAGGCTATTGCAAAATTAGAAAAGTTCCAGATTCGGAGCTAAAGTTGATGAGAGTATGGAATTGATGCAAAAAAATGAGTATTTTATATCAATCGGATATTAATGCAGATTATAATTAACGGATGCACTTTGTCAATTTCAGACCCTAGTGTCATGCCGACTTTGCCAAAGTCTCGTCATGGGAGGTATCAAATTAATGCTATTTATAGCTAATTATTATTATTTATCACGTCCAGCAAATCTTTTTACTGCATTTATATCTTTGCTTAGCCTACTCCAGCTCGCAAGATCCTGACAATAAGTACATTTTGACGACAGCATCCCGAGGGTGGACACTTTTGGAGCAAGTCTGGAATGAAAAGTCGGATGATCAAGTGTTTGCCATGTGCAAAAAATATTTAAGCTAAATCTTTATTATTAACACAATCGGAAATAATAAATAGTAATCTTAATTGGCAATAATTACAATTAAATCAATTAAAACTCTGATATGAATTAATAAATGGATTTTCATGAAGTATCCATCAAATTATCAAGTGAAACTTTGAACATGTCACGCACTTTTCTGGCTGAGAGGTGTTCATTGTGAATATCTCGCATAGCTTGATCCAATTGATCTCTCGATTTATCACTGACCTTTTCGAGCAATATCAAATATTGTTTTTGAACTTCGTCTTTTGCTATTGCCAACTCCTTAAGAAGGTCAGAAAGTATTTCTCGAATTTTTATGGAGTATATGCCAAAGCTATCTGGAGGCAAAGGGTTCCCCGTGTGTGGGATTAAACTCTTATGACAGTTGATTTTATTCGGATGGGATGACTTAGGATTCAAAATATCTGTTAACGACGAGTGTTTTTCTTTCCACCCATCCCTGAAACTTGGGATGCAATCGTACGCAGCGAGGAGACAAGCACCGTTGACAATGTCATTGAATTTTGCAAAAATTGCACAGTTCGAGGTCAATTTTGGAAATTTATCCTTAATCCTTTGTAGTGTAGTTTGGACACTGTCCGTACTTTTCCCTGTCGAGTGGTGTAACACTTCAGAAATTGGGGGTTGTATATGCTCTGGAATTTGCTGAATTGCCTCTTGGATTCCTAGACTAGTCCTGCTGAAAAGTTTATCTACAATTGTTGCGGTTGGCCAATATCCAGCAACTAGTTGTATAAACCATGATTCATTGCATTTCATGTACCAAACCATGTCGCACGTTTGTTTTAATTCATCCTCGAGTAAAACGAGGATATGGGAAGCTTTCTGGGGGATAATCTTCTCATGAATTTTGTTTGTCAAGAGACAACAACTTTCCCTCACGATGGTAGCATTTATTCGAGAAATTGTAATTGCGTTGGTGAATACGTTCCACATTGTTGAATTCGACGAGGATGGTATTGTTATAACAAATTTTAGTTTGTCCGAAAGAAGTTCTGCCGTCGCGTGTTGATGGAGTTGTGACAAAATTAGGGCAACGATTCCATCAAGTCGAAAGCGTAATTGTATATCGTCGTATTTATGGACCCCATATGTCTTTTTAGCAATGTCTACCTGGTCAAACATGTCTCGAAATGAGCGTGACTTTACTACTTTTGAGGTGTCACTCTTATAAGAATTGCCAATGAAAATTTCTTTCCCCAAAGAAATTACATTTGCTGCTGGTCCGTAAACTTGTCTAAATTTGCCATTGATAAGTGCAACTGCTGAGAGTAGGTCCAACCCAAAGTACACTCCGACGGGGATAAGGTCTGAGGATATTGGCGTTTGTTGCGTATACCCTGCTGCTTTCTGGGCGTATGTTGGCGTTACTGTTGTTTCTTGCGGGGTCGTACTGTTACTGGGGGTCTCATTTGCTTGGAGGAAACGACTAATCGGTGCAGGTTTATGTTTTTCAAACTTTTCTTGTAATCTATTTTTACTTGTGATCACCTCGTTCTCCAATTTTTTTAAGAATTTAAGTTGCCCATCTGGTGAAAGTTTTTCCGCTTCTTTTTTAAAATCGAAAAACACTTTGTCACTCACCGTCTTGTGGACCGTGTCAAAATTGCTTGCATTCATGGCTGGGTTTTTGTATTGAAAATCGATGTCTGAATTGTATTTTGCATGGAACTTTTGAACCAAAGAAGCCCCAAGTTGCTTCTCTTGCATCTGATTTTGCCGATACTTACTTTCTCTCGAGTCATAGTCCGAATTTAATTTTGATTCAAGATTTTTCAAAAAAATAGAATTAAGTTCCGGGTTCGTTTCCCCATAGCTGTGATTGAAAGCCTGAGTGCAATAATTTACAAGATTTTTGTGACGATTTTGAAATTCTGATAGACTTTCACCCCGTTGTGGGCTATTGGACTCGATTTGCGCAGTGTAAAACTCGAAAATGTGTCCGATGCAAAATTCTGCAGTCCTTTTCTCCGCGCTATAAATATCCTTGTTAAGTCGAACAAAAGTGGTTTCTGCGTTTTGAAGTTTTTTGAGTAAAAATGGTCTCATTTTGTTCAAGGCGTCATTTGCATTGGAAGAAGGGATAAGGATTTGTTCTTTGATCGACTTTGAAATTTCGACTAATTGGTCTTCCCGTGGAAAGCAGACGTTAGATTGCATTACTTCGTCTATTCGGGTCAAATAGTTGTTAACGATTTGAATACTTGTAAGCAAAGCGTTTGAAACATTGTTATTGCTATTGTTGGCTGTAGACATATGTCCACCAGCAATCTCTACTACGTGTTGCCATATTGTTGAAAATTCATAATTATTGGAATTAATGTGAAGCTCATCAAATGTTTTGCACGCGGTGGTCAATAAGTTTTGGTAGAATTGTGAAGAATCTGACTTATCTTCGGGTTTATCGATCAAGGATGACGATGTACTTTTTTGTTCAGCAATCGATGCTGTGCCTGTTTGTTCAGGAAGACTCTCAGAAAAAGTCAATTTGTTAACGCCTTGAGAGACTTTGTCGTTTATTAATTTCAAGCCGGAAATATAACTGACGGGTCTGGCCGGTTTTGGGATGGGTTGAAAAATTTGGTTTATTATGTCATCTGCAGATAGGGTGGCAGGAAGTGGCGCTATTTCTGGTCGAGGCGAATCCATCGACACCGATGGCGTGGATTCTTGAATGTTGCTTTGTCCCCCCTTCTCAGTTTCAGGCTCGGTTGAGGGAACTGTTGTTTTCGGTATGAAGTCAAATTCGAAATCATCATTATTATTCGATGATAAGTCGGAGAATAAATCTTTTGCATTATCATTCCAGTATTTTTCTGCATCTTTAATAATTTCTTCGGTGGGAAGGGTCAACGAAGTTGGGTCAACATGGTCGTCGTCATCCTCCTCATCATCGGAAAAGTCGTGACTGAATTCGCTACTCTCTTGAATTGCATAATCCATTCTTGGATAAACCTGAATGCTCGAGGCTTGGTCTACATAATTCTTGCTCGCAGCAGCAGCAGCAGCACCATCATCTTCTACAACCTCTGGTGGTGGAGGAATTTCCTTGTTTAGTAAATCTGCAAGTTTCGGCAAATCGTGTAGCAATCCACAAATATCTTCCCCACATGCGACCTTCCCCTGAATTACTTTCCCCTGCTGTTTTCTACCAAGAACTAGAGCAAGGAATGATTCCAGGTTTTGTTTATACGTATCAGTGGTATCAACGTTTCTTTCAGGGAAGAGAAAGCAGTCCCAATCTGACATTTGTTTAATTACTCTCATCGCTTCGGGTGAAAGCGAACTCGACGATTGAAGAATACTTTCGGGCGAAACTCCAAAAGTTTCCCGCATATAACGACTTCCTCCATCAACTCCGGGATGAAATTCGTCAAGTTTTTCCCATTTGTTGATTAGAATTACGAGCCTTTGAAATTGTTGAGTTTGACATGACCACCGACGACCAAATTCCAAACAGTTTTCCAACAATTCCCAAGTTGACGACTAAATGGTGAAGCAAAGTTAAATATATGGCATAATCTTTATTTATAATGACTGAATTTTCATCTGACCTTCATTTCTTTCTCCTCAATGCAAATCATCGTACTACTCATAGCAGCAGCCAACCCTGCCAAAACTTTATAATTGATATCGGTGGGCTCGCCCCAAATATCCAGAAAAACATGAGCCACCATATTTTCATCATCCTCGTCTTGGTTGATTATGGGGGTTTTGTAAGCCACAATTGACAAGACTTCATGGTCAGCTTTGGCACCCGAGAAAATTTCTGGCGATACATCAGAAATTGGAGAGATGGATTTTGCATTCGTGGATTTCAGCAAAATTCCACTCAATTGCGAATTTAAATCAAGATGGATGGGATTCAGAGAGAAATGGATTGAAAATGGGATGGATGCTGTTTCCGGTTTGTTGAAAAGTTCTCTCATTCCGGCCGTGTTAACAATCAGCTCGTCATTTTGGATGTACACCAGGGTCACAAAGGCATCAGGCGTCTTAAAGTTCGCCTCTGCTGGTAAGTTTGCAGGGGTAGTGTCCTCCATTCTTAGAATTTAGTAATAATTTGATTTTTTATGTAAATTGTCAAAACGTTTATCGTTACATTTAAACATTACCTCGGATGGATTTCAAAATGATGAAGTAAAACAAGTAATCCTATCAAGTTATTTATTTTATTTTCGGACAAAGATCACACAATGACAAATTACGATGAATAAACATCAAGTACTGAAAAAATGATGATGATTGTGTACTCTACTTGACTAATTTGTACACATACCATCGACTATCTGAGCTTACACTTATCTTCACTCAGTGCCAATCAATGACTGTCAATGAGTAATATTTATCTTTATCACTTCAAACTTGTTGATTTGCCAGAATAATAACGTTCCAACGAACAAATTTTTACAGAGTTAGTTTTTTTCCTTCTCCTAAAATGGGAACCGAAACATTTTTTCATAAAATTAAAATTACCCCTGTCGATAGACGTGTCCAAGTAAGGGCAAAACTTGACGAGCTTTTTGCAAAGTATAGAAATAGCACGGGCCCAAAACCAATCGATTTACCACAAAAACCAGGTAAGAACAATTCTTATCGTTTCCCTTGAGTGCATGAATTGGTTGATTAATTCAAGTGCTCTTCCCAACATTAGAGACGATCGAGGAACGCCTCGACAAAATACAGAGCGAAATTCAGGAACTACAAGGAGACGTAGAAAATTCAAAATATTTTGAAAAATCGTCCGTCCCTTACAGGCGAATAGAACATTCATGCACCAAGTTACAAATTCGTCTGGATGATCTCCAACTAGACGAGGATGACGCTTTGATAAAAGTGCGAAGAGATGCTCTCGTAACAATTGAGTCTGTCAGAGAAACCTTAAATTCAAAAACTAATGCATAAATAAAAAAATAAATCTCTTAAATAAATAATTTTGACCATAATTATCTATTTTGAAAATGTGTACCAATTATTTTCATCCATCGTGGTATTACATCAGCATTCATGTATGGAATAATAGGACGGAAATGTCCGATTTTATAATGATGATAAGCCAATTGGGTCCCATGAGGGGAATTACATCACCTGTTGCTGGGTTTGTATGTGAGCATAAAGAAACAATGGGAATAAAAAAAGCCGTGTTATCAACCGGCAACAAATATCTATAAATTGCGAGTCAATTGAGTTGTCCATTTTTTATGGCAATATGCAGAAAATATTTTACTTTACATAAGCTCATGAGATGATTGATAAACAGGATGAGAGTCTTGCAAATATTTAAATTATCATTTTCTGTCAAAGATAAAACTGACTGTTTATGAAGCTGTGTTTGATGATACCAGGATAAAGTGTTATCGGTGTGTGTAGGTATGTTATACGTTGCACTGGTCATCAAATCCCATAAGCGATTGATTCACAAATATTTAGTATGAGTCGAATAGAATGCAATATTCGCATCAAGTTAATGAACTGAAGACAAAGGAAAATATTAAGAAAAGTGACTAGAATTATTTATAATTTTCCCATTGTTTCTTGAAAGAAGGTGATTAGCACACTTTATTTTTCGCATTATTTTTGTTATATTTAAACAAATAATTAACGAACCATTATGTTTTTTATGAAAAACGTTTAAACCCAAGCAATAATTTCTTGCAGATTGGCCTAGTCGACGTTGGAAATCATGGCATCATCCCCCAGATTCGGAGAGCCTATCCAAATCGTCAACTTCAGAATATTGCCCAATCAACCATCCAAGCTCGTCTTGAACAAAAGAAATCTGGAGATCATCCTACGACAGGTAGGAAATACCCCCATCTGCCTCATCTCCATCGCCGGCGCATCTCGTCAAGGTAAATCATTCCTTCTCACCGTCGTTCTCAACGTTCTTGAACGTTTATCACGAGGACAAACCGAATACTGGGAGGATCTCGAGCAGTTATATAGCTTGACCGGATTTCATTTCAAAAATGGCACTGAACGTGACACCGTTGGTTTGTGGTTATGGTCGAAACCTTTCATCATCACGAAATCGGACGGTACTAAAATTGCCGTGATGCTGATGGACACTCAAGGAGTTTTCGACAGCTATACGACGGAGAGGGACTGGGCCATGATTGTCGGTCTCAGCCTCCTCACCTCTTCCTGCCTTATCTACAACCTGTTCACCAACATGCAGGAAGATACGTTGAAAATATTTTACAATTTTGTCGAATTTGGAATGCTTTCTCTAGAAGAGGATTCCACTGCCACGAGTGCCTTTCAAAAACTCATCTTCCTCATACGGTATTATAGATATTTAATGTTTAAAAACTTGTCTAAGGTACCAATCCCTATATAGTTTTCGAGTAATCCACGACTGTAAAATTTAAAAAATTTGAAAGAAATGTAACCTTACAAGAAAATTCGCTATTGTAGAGACTGGAACTTTCCAAATACTAACTCATATGGACCGCTCGGTGGTTCCACCTTTCTCGAGAAGAAACTTGCCGTGACGCCCGATATGCCACTGGAGGTTACAATGGTGAGACAAAAGCTAGCCACATGTTTTGAAGACATTTCTTGCTTTCTCATGCCCAATCCGGGCGAGGCTGCAAAGGAGAATAACTTTTCGGGAGCTTTGAGCACTCTTAGTGAAGCATTTCGTGAAAATTTGCGCCTTTTTGTGGACAACTTGATTTCATATGATGATCTAAAACCGATTAAAATTGGGAACAATATCATTGACGGGACCAGCTTGCTGAGTTATTTTGAAAAATATATTGAAGTTTTTAACGGGAAAACGATGCCACCACCAAAATCACTTTATCAAGCCATGGAGGAAGCCAGGCTGGGGTCGTGCATTACAAAATGCTGCAACCAGGCGAAGGAGAAATTAGAATTGGTGCAAAAATCACGCGAGTACATTCCAAGCAATGAATTCAAACAGTACTGCGACAAGTTTGGGAGGGAAGCTTTGTCAGGTAGGCATATTTATTTGGATAATTGCTAATAATTTGTTATAATCAACATACTATTTTAATACTGTTTTACTATTTTTTATTTCATTTTAGAGTTCATGGTGGAAGGGAATAAGACTAAAAATCAAGAATTTCTCCAGCGATACCGTTCCACACTTATGTCTGATTTGAAAACTTTATTTGGAGAAATTTTTGGCATAAATGAGGCATCTAAGAACGCCATTCTGAATCAAATTCTCGAGATCTCTGTAACACAGTATAAGACCATTTTGGCAGATAAAACAGGACAAACTCTTCTCGAACAAGATTTGGAACACATATTGGAATCTGAAGTGAAAAACTTTTTGCTTAAAGTTCGTCAAGATTGTGGAGGAAGAGATGCCGCATTTCAGAGCGAAGCTGAAACCAAGATCAAAGAGTTAATGGACAAGGAAAACACAGAAATTAGAGGCCAAAATTCCACTAAATTTAAGGAAATTGAACGCTTCTGTCAAATATCGCTTCAGAATTGTACCCAAGAATACAACAGTCTTATGAACCTTGCTTTGGGCAACGATCTAAAAAATGTCACGCAGGAAAAACTGAGTCAAACTCACAAGACGTGCGAATCCATGGTCCTTCCCAAATTCATGAGACCACTCGAAAAAGAATCAGAAATAATCCGTGGCCACTTTCACCATCAATTTAACTCTGGAATCAATCAGATTTTAGGACAATACGCAGAAAAATTCGGCTCAGCTCGAAATGAAGCTTCATCCGCTGCAAGTAATATATACAACGAATCGTTCACCGCCTACACGAGGGCATTGACCGCACTGGCGGAATCGGGCGCTTCGGAAAGTGACCTCAAGACAGAACACCGATTCAAAGTTTTGGAAGCATGTCACAAATTGAACCAAATCAATATAATTTGCTCCCCCGAGGAGGCGAGAGAGTTTGAAAATAATATGAGGGAAGAAACCACCCAGTTTTACGACGAGCTCATCGCTAGCATCCACAAAGAGAAAGAACGCTTCCAATCACTCCTTGACCAAGCCGTGCAAAATGGGGTGGAAGCTTACGATCGGGAAATTAAGAGTGTCGTCCATTCTACGGCTGATGAACCATTGTCCGACGCGGAGTTTATAACTAAACATGAGAAAATCCTTGCCAAAATTTTGAGCAAGGTCTCCGTATCGGATTGGATCCCGGCTGAAAATCGTCCAACCGTAGAAAACAGAATCAAACAAGGGGTTCAAAATTCGTATCGAGATGCGCAAGCCAGCAACAATTGTAATCTGGAACAGGCTGAATTGACAGCGTCAGAAAAGTCTAAAACTTTCCTTGCCAAGTATGACGAAAGAATGCATGCACTCGTATCTAGAGTGGCACCGCCCGTTAAGCAATCCGAGCTAACAAACACTCACAACAAATTGGAACAAGAAATCGGAACAATGGCAAAGAAAATGTTTGCACATTTCCCAAAATCCATTGTTGACAGAATCTGGGGGAAATTACAGCTCGACATGAACAACCGTTTTGAAGACTACAAGGAAAAATTGGACTTGAAAATCGAACAAAATCAAACAAAAATGTCACAACTAGTTTCAGATCATGTAGAAATGTATCAGTCGGAAGTTGACAATTTAATCACGACCTCAAAAAATATTACGGATTCAGACCTGACCCGATTCCATGAACGAAGTAAATCCATGAGTATCCGACAACTCGGTTATGTCCTTCGCCTCAGCGAAAATTTTGATCAGGAACAAGTGCAGAAGGAACTTGATGAAAAAATTGAACAACTTTTCTCTAAAATTCGAAAAGATACTTCTGAACTGCTCAAGAATATTGACGCCCAAATTTCCGACCTGCACAAAACTGCTAAAGCCAAATACCAGAAAAAAATTGAAGAAAGGCAAATCGATGCTCAAAGTGAGGAGGACCTGAAGAAAATACATGAAGCCGTATTATCCACAGTTTTAGACGAGTTTGAACGCAGTTTTATAGAGATTGGGGATATGCAAAGGTTCCGGCAAGAGAAAGTTGCTCTCCAATCTGAACTCCAGGATTTGTATAGAAAAGTTGTGAATGATTTCCTTGAAACGAGTGACCAACACGATAAGAAAATTAGACAAGAAATTAACAAACTTGTTGAAAACTACCGGACACAGGTACAATCTGGGTTGGACCCATTTTATTGCGTGTTGGATTCAAAATTGCAAGCTCTCCACGACCAAGCTCTCGCCGACGTACTAAAACAATGTCAACAATCTGTAAAAATACCTCCAAACTCGAATCAAAAAACGTATGATGACCTGCTTGGACAAAAAATACACGAAGCTTTTAAATTATTCGAGAGTGAAAACATCGCTAAAAATGAATCCTTGCGAGATGACATTAAAGACCGAGTGGAACAACTTTCCAAAGAGCTTGTAACCGAGCTTAGCACAATGAACAACATGGATGAAGACACTCTGAGGAAAATGACCAAAAAGTATATCCAATTATGCGTCGAATCTGTGACAAATGAATTTTCTATTGATGACGACGCAAGTGTATCTGCTTTCTGCGTCGGTCAAATGACGGACGCTTGTACTAATGCATTTGATGCTTGGAAGCAAATTGAAGTCCCAGAGGCGGATGTGGACTATCATCTTCGCAAAGCTAGAGATACCTATACAGACGAAATGGACAAAAGTATTTCATCCCGCACGGGAAAATTCTTACATACGAAAGACCTGCATAAAATGCATGTCAAAGTTTCCAACTTAGTGAGGGGTTTATTTGAAAAAAGCATTCGACAAACTCCCAAAATCCAGCAACGTTTCAACGACATGCTTCACGACCTGTATCGAAAATATGACGGAGATAATACCCTCCGAGCATCGGAAATTGCAGAACCTGCGATAGGCATTGACTTGGGGACGACGTACTCTTGCACAGCAATCTACGACAAAGGGACAATCATTATGATACCAGATCACAACACTCACAAGAATGTGACTCCGAGTTATGTCCTTTTTGAAAGTCCGACACAACTCGTGGTCGGAGAATCTGCAAAAGACCAAGCAAACATTTATCCTGATGCGTCAATCTTTGACGCCAAGCGATTGATTGGGCGCAAATTTACGGATGAGGTCACGCAAAAAGATATTAAGACGTGGCCGTTCAAAGTTGTCCGTGACAGTGCGGAAAAGAATCGTCCGAAAATTCAAGTTTTGGGTCAAACTTATTACCCAGAAGAGATCAGTGCAAAGATCTTGAAGAAATTGAAAGACGACGCTGAAAAATATTTGGGTCGCAAGGTCGAAAATGCGGTTATCACGGTGCCCGCTTATTTCAACGATGCGCAGAAAACGGCTACGAAGAACGCTGGGAATCTTGCGGGTCTTAAGGTGATGGGAATCTTAAACGAACCCACGTCCGCAGCAATTGCATACAGTTTGAATTACACGGACGACAAGGAGAGAAATATTTTGGTGTATGACCTGGGTGGTGGTACTTTTGATGTATCGGTGTTGACGGTGAAAGGGGGCGACATAAATGTTCGAGCAGTTGGAGGAGATAACCACTTGGGAGGAGAAGACTTCGATACGAACATGCTCAACTATTGCATCAAAGAGTTTCAAACATTATACAATATTCAGCTTGATAAGGATGGGGTTGAAAATGAGAGAAACTCACGGCTTCGACGAATCAGAGCAAAATGTGAAAAAGAAAAGATTAATCTTTCGGTTTCGGAAAAAGTGAAAATTTCCATTGATCGAATTTTTCAAGACCACCACTTGCAAGTGGAAATTACAAGACACAAGTTTAACGAAATGAATGAATCCTTGTTTCAAAAAACCTTAAAAATTGTTGGGAAAGCATTAGACGATGCTAAAATGGAGATAGATGCGATAAATGACATTGTTCTTGTTGGAGGGTCCACAAGGATTCCAAGGGTTCAGGAAATTCTACAGGAATATCTGAAAGGGAAAAGTTTCAACTTGGCGATTAATCCAGATGAAGTAGTGGTAAGCATGACATTGTGTTTGTTTTTGTGATATTGCCCATCAACACTTTTAACACTTTTTTGGTTGAATTTAAGTAAGCGATATGGATTTTATCTAACTATGCAATTTATAATATTGTGTTTAGGCACAGGGAGCTGCTATTTTAGCGGCGATGAAAAGTGCTGCGAATGTAAAGGAACTTGGTCAAATTCAGGTAATCATTATAATAAGCAGATTCTATGTAAATATCTGCGAATAAATGTAACCCTCTTTTATTACACCAAACCTATTCACCTTCCAGTTGTCTGACGTGGCACCCTTGTCTTTGGGAATCGAGGTAAAAGGGGGCGGATTTTCAACCATCATCAAACGCAACACAAAAGTCCCCTGTAATAAAACCGAGGTTTACGTCACAACGGTAGACCAACAGACGACCGTCAACATATCCATTTACGAGGGAGAGGATAGAGTCGCGACGAATAATAATTTACTGGGGAATTTTGTGATGACTGGAATTCCTCCTGCTCGTGCGGGCCGAGAATCTATCGATGTGACGATGTCATGCGATGCGGAGGGGATCCTGCACGTCACTGCGCTTTGCAGATCGACCGGTGGAACGAAGGACATTACCATCAAGTCGCAAAGGACTGGACTGACTGAGGAGGAAGTGAAGGATTTAAAGGTGGGTTGGATGGATGGAATTATTGAGTTGGATAAAGCTGACAACTTATCTACAAATTTTGTGTGTACCTGTTGCAGGAAAAATAAGGAAGCATGATGTCACCAACAGACTACAATTAACTTTCTCTTCATAAATTATGCATAAATAATAAATTGTGATTTTAATTAAATAAATATACTGTTGACTTTACTGTGTAAGTTATCTTAAATAGCACGATTTTTTTTACTACTGTTTACATAAAGGTGTGATTTTGCATCCGACATTTTTTTATAATTAACCAATTCTACCGTTTCCTGGATTTCATAGGCACGCCTGATTCCCTCGTATTTTTCCCACTTTCTCTCTCCACTTCTTCAGTGTAAGTTCCAATATATATATTTTCATGTTTAGGTCCTGGAATGTGGATCGGTAGGAGTTGTGACGGTCTGTACTTCTTCCCAGTCGTGATGGTGGTGGGGGCGGTACTGTTAGGGGCACCGAATTTATTCTGACCCATCGAACCGTAGCCACTTCCTCTATTTTGCGCATAACGAGATGTCACCGTTGCTTGAAATGCGTGGTGAGGCCTATGATCTGATTGAGTTCCTCCTCCTCCTGGTGCTCGAAATGGCGACGCCGCTGCCACCACCGCCGGCTTGACGCCCACATTTGAGGACGGAATGGGCGTCGCGGTCGCCGCGGCTGGGGGAAGTACTTTAATCTCAGTACGATCTTTTCCCCCAATTCCGGGCGGCATCATCTGCATAAGTCCGTGATGCTGCTGACTCGCAGGACTGTACAAGTGGCGAATGTGTTTGATCGAGCCCAAGTTATTGTAGAGTCGATTCGTCACGTCGTTTATCCTGCTTTGCCGTTTGGCTCGGTAGTTGTCGTAGTTGAAGGGTTTGAAACGAGACCCAATTGTGAGAGGGTGATGAGTGTCGTCCAAAACGGGGAGACCGGTCGAAGTGAATTTTCCCACTTGACGTATTTGACTCAGACCAGTGTCAATTCTTGGAGTGACGTTTGAATAGTCGGTCGTTGGATGAATTTCTTTCTTAGTTTCGAATGGGTTGTCAAAAGCAAACATGGCATCGGTGCCTCGGAAGTTGAATTTTTTTCGTTTCTTGTTGTGAAATAATGTTCGCGTTGTTCCAGATCGGATGGGGGTTAATTCTTCGGATGCAACGTGGGGTGGGGTTTTGGGGGGTTCGCCTCCGGTCTGTCATAAAAATTAGTACATTCATAAATTTCGCATGAAAAATAAAATGTAATTGCCCTGTAAATACCAAGTGGAATGTACGGAAGGCAATGTTTCTCCTGATGTCGATTGGATGTTGAAACCCATCCACACCACTGCGCCAAAGAGCCGTCGTGTTTTCTGCGAGATTGTTAAATGTCCGGGTTTTAGTACTGGCATAAAATTCTTGGAAAAGTTTGCTTGTGTCCAAGGAAGCGGAAATATTATCTTTGGAACCATCCACGACAGATTTTGTCGCAAAAACTGTTGGCGTCTTCAAATTAGATCGATTTCTTGATCCTGCAGTAGAAATTAGAGCAAAACTTGGGGGTTTCCCAGAGTTTAGGAAACGAGCATTTTTTAAGGAAGTTGTGGTCGTGGAAAGTCCAATTTTTTCCAGAAACTTTTCATGTTCATTGTGTGCTTCCAACGTTTTCTTCCAAATGTCAGCGTCCGTCACGTAGGAATTTGAGAACCCATTGTTACGACTTTTACTTGAGGTGACTTGTTGAGAATGTGATGTCACGTTATCAAGAGTAGAATCCTGTGGGGGTGGGTCCGTTCCCGTTGCTATAATCAGATAGCATCATCAATAACTAGTTCATCATGCAAACCAATTTTATAAAGGGCTAACCGAAATCAAGCTTAGTGGGTGACGACTTTAAAGGGTGAATTGCGTTATTATCGGGCATTTTACTAATAATTTTGAAAGTTTAAGGAAAATCTACATTTAGGGGAAATTCATTTTAGTAATTTTGTTATTGTGCATTCAAATGACATCAAATAATTTTCATAATAGGTGTTTCATCGCAAAGTAGCTATGGCTATGACTTATACAAGTGTGATTTTTGCGAGTATAGAATGACACTCGTACGTGTGAGTTTGCAAAATGAACGGGCCATGCCACGATGTCCTTACTTATGAGCTATTATTTATTTATAAATGCTGATGAAAAATATGCACCATCAATGTAAAAAAATTATTTCCACAATAAAGCATCCTTGAATTGAACTTTGAAATTTTCCAATCCAAATTTCCATAATCGTATACAATTAATTCGAATGTCCGGTACATACTCACCAGGAAAAATAGACAGGATAACGAATCGTAGAAAAATGCTAACGTTTGCCCAGGCAGACGAGTCAACAGCTTGCTTATCTTACTTATTTTATGATAAGATATATGTTTGTATTTTCAACACGAGCCTAAACTTCATCAAAACCACTGAACACTTTGCAATATACATAATAAATTTAACGTTCAATTTATTAACACTGTATTAATCACAAACATATCGATAAAATATAAAATACAAAACCATCATTTCACAGCTTTTACCATACACACGCATATTGCAAACTAATACTTTTCTACGCCGTATTTCTTCACACACATATTCGCATCACGCACATATTTGCATTTTATCGCAAAATTATGACTGACGAGGTCTCTTTCTTCGATCCGGAAGTAGTCACACCACCGGAAGCCCAGATTGATCCAAATTTCTTGGAATTGATCACAGTCCATGGCAAAAATGATATCAAGATTCACAGCAAGAGCTTCTCTCAACTATTCGATAAGCCAGAAATTGATGGATTCGGATACTCCATTTTTCTCGTGGTTGGAAAACATCACACCCAAAATTCTGATATGATTGGAATCATTCTCCAAAATTTACAAACTACGGGAAACATTTCAATGCTAGAGGTGATAGAATCTGACCTTTTCACCGGCCCGAAAGACAATTACAAGTCGAAAGGTCTCATCGCTTATTCGAAACCTGTCATCTGTAAAGGAAGCGATGGAAGAAATGCAGCAAATTTTTTTCTCGACGTTTGGGGGGATTTCAAAGATGGTGATGAACGTGACACAAGCTACATTTTGTTGGCTGGACTAGGCGCAGCCTTGTCAAGTACTATGATATACAAAGGAGATGGACAAATTAGTGTAGGTCATTGTATTTATAAAATTAACAATTAATTTCAAAATCAGAAATCACCACCATTTCGAAATATTTTACTTAGGCCTCCAACTGGACCTGGCTTCGCAGAATGATTTCCGTCTCCAGGAAAGTTCACGGCTCCGGTGAAATGCAAAACTTGCTCTTTTTCATTCAAAACTGGGCCTTAAAGGAGTATGGAATTTCTGGTAAAAGTGCAGGAAATTCATATATCAAAGCACTTATGGGAGACCGTACTGCAATGTCACCTGACATGAGTTACGTCTTCAAATCACTTTCGCAACCCCAATGTTATGCATTTCCCAAAATCGAGACAGGGGACAATAAATGTCGCCTCCTTATCAAACAACAATTGAAAGCATTCCAACAATTACTTTCCTTTAATATCAAATCCAAAAAGATTGACGGCGTTGAGGCTGGATATGCAAATATTTTTAATATTTTCAAGTTTGAAAATTTGCCGGATTCTGCTGAACTATTAAAGTTGGAAGAAATTGTTGAACCTGTTGAACCCGAAGAAATTGAGGGTGCAGATGAAGAATCAAAATGTTCGTCTGAACTTACCCAAGAAAATTATGAGTCTGATTCAGAACATAAGCACGATTTAGAGCCGCAATCCAATATAAATCTTGACCAATCAACTTCCGGTTCTTCCCTTCATCATCAAAGCATGAAATTTTCCTTTGAAACCGAAGATGTTGACACGAGCCAGAGTTTCGCTACTCTTTCACTCAACGATCCAACCCCCTTTTCTCCGGAAGTGAACGATATGTGGACCACTGCGACTGCAGATAATAGCATGTTCAACTTTGATTCCTCAAATGAGTGGAATTTGCCAATGGAAAATAAAGTTGAGATTGAGAAGAAACCAGAGGAGCAACCACCCCCAATTATTTCTGGTCCAGTTATCGACACGGATTTTCACTCACTTCCAGCACCTGCACCTTTGGAGCAATTTGAAGAGCAAACCACCACCACTCCAGCCCAGTTGCATTCCCTTCAAGAACACACAACCCATGAGAAAGCTGAAGACCTCATTCAACGAATTTTTGCATCCAAACTCCCTGTAGTTCAAAGAGCTTTCAAACGGCCTGAAATAAAACTCCGTGGAATTGTGCCGCAAAGCGTGCCAAATCTATTGTCGCTGGAAAGGGACAACGAACTCTGGAGAAAGCCTGTCCATCAGGAAGAAGACATAATTAAGCCTAGCACTAGTCACGACTTGGTCGAAATTCCTGACGCTGATAATAATATATTCACTGATCAAAAACCTTCTTCATCTTCAGCAAGAAGCGTATCGCCAAAAACGTCAACGACAAAAACTAAGAGTCCTAGTCCTCCTCCAAGAACAAGTAATAATGAAATTGCTACCATTCCTGACGGACTCATGGCATCGGCAGTGCATATTTTCGAAAATTTGGAGCTCTCATCAGAAATTAATCTAGCCTCCATCACCAAGCTGATTTTTGACCATTGCTACAAATACGGTGGCGTCAAATTGCAGGGATGCGATCCAAACGACGATGGCGCACTTTTATCCGTTATTCTTCCACCTCTTCGAGCAGTATCAAACTATCAAACTGCACTTGAGAAAGAATTCGAACGCCAAATTTGTTTCGACTCGCCTCAAGAATTTCAAGAAGTGACGAGAAAAATTAAAACTCAAATTACAAAAGAGTTAACAGGGCCACTGAAGGAGAGTGTTCTTTACAAGATGAACCAGTTGGATGAAAAGTATAAAGAAATTAATGACAAAATTGTCCAAGCGGAAGAACAAACTGCAAGATATGCTAAACAACTTGTCTCAAGTTTTTATGATGAGCAATTAAAGAGCTGGAAACTTCAAGGGGAATTCAAAACCTTGCACAAGACTACTTTGGAACTTTGTAAGGAAGCATTTCAACAAGCTTACGGGCGACCTGGGTCACAAATCGGGAATAAAATGCTAACGCAACTCTTGGACAAACTTGAAAAGGAATGTCCCGATTTAGAAAAAACGATTGGCGATACCGCCGCCAGACAGAAGGTCACTGCGGCTCGACTTGTCGAAACATGCACCTCCACCTACAAGTTAGAAATGGACCGTAATTTAAAAAATCCTGCCTTAAATGCGAGTCACTTTCAATCTCTGCATCAAACAGCGTCTCACAATGCAATCCGGAGTTTCCAAGAGGAGTCAAAGTCTTCATTTGAAATCTCGATGGATAAGTTTGAACAAGACCTTCAAAAAAATATTGACCAATTGAGCAATAATTTTAAGGAAGAGTTTGACTCTACCAAACCAAAACCTAAAAGTGCAGCAGAAAGTGGTCAAAATGGGTCAAAAATGCCATTTAGCAATGCACCATCCTCCGTAAAACAACTGCAACCAGTTCCAAAACCAAGAACTCGACAGCAGCAGCAAAAAAATGATGCAGAATCATCACCTTCCTCCATCCCGGTAGGGATCTTCTTCTCTTTAGATAAGATCTCTGCTGCCACATTCGACCCCCAGAATGGAACCTTCAAGACAATTTACGGCCCAAAACTCAACCAGATTTGTTTCTCGGAAGAAATTCTAATAACTGGTTTTCCTCAGAGCGTCCCAGACAACAAAGTTCTCAAGATGAGACAAATCTTGACAAATCCCAAAATTGAGGAGAATCGAAAGGTCGAGATTTATGGACGAACTGCAATATTACGAGTTGAGGAAATTGTAGCTTACATTCTCGCCCAGTTGCATGAGAATCTGAAAATAATCCTTCATTCGTCTTCCATCTCTTACGCCATCACGTACCCTTCATCCTTTAACAAAACGATGTGGACGGTCCTCAAGGATGCGACACTAATTGCAGGCATAAAAGCAACCCTTGTCCGAGAGTCGGATGCGATTTTGACACATGCAATTCACACCAGGAAATTAGTTGAGAAAAAAACATGGGTTTTGGTGGCAATAGAGGATCCTGACACGAAAGGTAGTGACCTTGCAGTATATGAAAATAGTGGAAATGGGGGAGCACTCCAGCTTAACAAGGTTATTGGATGCGGGCCAGGATCCAAATATTGGGGCTTGAAATCAGCAACAGGAATGGAGGAATGTATGGATAAGTTGTCAAAAAAAGTTGCCAAATCGAATCCAAGAATTTACTTGTACTGCAACGGTCCTCAAAGTAAAGCAAGCAATATAAAGTCTATAAAATCAGCGACGACTGACACTCAGTGGGTGGAAGCAATAAAGGTATCAGAACCTTTGGAAGGTGCATCGCTTGTAGCATGTATTCAACACAATGCAGCATATCGCACCAAATGGGTACAGAAATTCCCTTTCGCCAACCTGTCCAACATTTTGAAGACCTTGCCAAACTCGTCTAACCTGACTCACTCTCAAGTTGATCATGTCGGCAGTAATTTACCGAACGTCTCAATCAAGGGAAAATCCGCGGAAGTCCAGAATTATAATGTTGCTCATTTTAGAAACCTGGAGGCTGCTAAAGATAGCGTGCGCCAAAATTACATCAGGATTCAGGACCGGATCGGTAAGCAAGAAATTAATGTACTGGAAGATGCCGTTAGAAAAATTATGAATGAACAATTGTCTGCTCAGCAAGTCCACGCCAAGTGGAACGCAGCCCTTAAAAAGATTCATCATAATTCATGATCCATTCAATATGCAAAACGTTCTAAATAAATAAATAAATTGACCGCTGTTTGTCATTCATCATAAAAATTGCGTATGTACATAATATATTTATAAGTGCTTTATCTTCCATGAGCATGAATATCCCATGAGGGATTTCAGATAAGATATAAAGTTTACCATTTTTCACTCATGCATATTTTACTTTACACGTAATATTCATCACATCCCATCAGTTTCACTCTGATCGGTCATATACATAGATCACCTCATAAATTCGTTTTGATTATTCCACCACTTACATAATCATGGCATCTGGAGGAAATTATGTTGCGGAGGTGACAGGGGGCCTTGCAGAGTTAGGCTTGGCATCCGGCTTACAAGAGAACGAACGAACACAAGAAACGGATTATACTTGGGACAAGGGTCACAAGTTCCGGATGGAGAATCTTTTGGACACTGGATTTCTGAGCGATATTGTCCTTGAAGTTGGACATCAAAAGAGGCCGATGAAAGCACACAGGCTAATCCTCCAGGCCGGGTCACCCGAAATGTACAAGAAAATAAATAAGCTGGAGAAAGGCGAGGATGTCGTTTTGTCCATTCCGAACGTGGACTATGACTCATTCATCCTCTTTCTGAAGGTATTGACATACTTATGATTAGTTAAATATGACCACAAGCATTTGACCACATTTTAACTTTCACTTCAAGTTTTTGTACACTGGAGAAACTGGAAGTGCTCTTGAAGGTCTCACATTCCTTCCACTTCTACAAATCGCAACCACTTTCGGAGTAACAACCTTGATAAATATTTGCGCAAACAAGGCAGAGCGGAGCTTATCGGAGGAAAATGCTATTCCAATTTATCAACAAGCAATGCAATGTGGACAGAAGGAACTTATCAATAGTTCTCTTAACTTTATTTGTCAGTGAGTCAGTATAAATTATTAGTCAAGCCTTTCCTGTCAAATAACATACTTTTGATTGAGCTGTGAGTGAGTCATGCAAAAATAAGTCTTGCGTGTAATCACCACTTTAATTTGATTTAGACACGCTTGGAAGATTGTGGAGAGTGAAGGATTCGTCGACCTGCGACAGGAATGTTTATACGAACTCTTGACCAAGGATGATCTCCAAGTTGAAAGCGAACTCCAATTGTTTCAAGCCGTTCTCAGGTTTTTAAATGCTACATATGCCGTCAAATTTCGATACGTAGCTTATCTGACTTGCGAATACTTTTGATTTTAGATGGGCAAATGCAGAATGCGAGCGAGGTGGTTTAGAACCCGGAAATTGGGATAATATTCGTGTCGCGTTATCAAAAGTGATTGGCCTTATCCGATTTCCTGTCATGGATCAGGCAGAATTCACGTTAAATGTTGCCCTCAATAATATTTTGGGTCTTGAAGAATTGGTCAAAATCCTGCTCTATTTCACGGTACCACCAAACCAACGGTGAAAACATATTTCTACTTACGTAAACTTTCGAACTGCAAATTTGTTACATGTATCATTATGTTATTTTCCAGTGAAAAAATCCCCCCAGGAAGGTTCATTTCTACTCCGAGACAGTACTACAAAGGGTCAAAACCATCTCATTCTGATAATTTCCAAAAAAGTAGTGCTAGGAAGGTGAGTTTTGAACAACAGGAATTTACTCGTTCACCATCTGATGAATGGGATCGTCCCGTACTTGTCGAAAATCATCCAAGTCCCTCGCTTGAAGTCCTTTATAAACCTCCTCCAGCAGATGATAAAACGTCTAAAAAGCCAGGGAAAAAGGGGGTTCGCCTGTTTGACTTATAAATCTTAGAATTATGTAACTTATTCATACATGAATTTCTTTAGTATTGCCTTAATTGCTGTGAAAAAAAATCATAAAATCTTTAAACGATTAAAAACTTTGCCAAATTCAGATTTTGTGGTTTCATTCTAAAGAATTCATACAGCATGACCACTTAAGAGACTATTTATGTATACACAATAATATACCGAGCAAAATGAAACAATTGATGTTAACTAAAGTAATTTAATGCGCTGATGCCTTTGACTGCACAAAGTGGTGCAGAATAGTGGATATTTTCTGTAGTCGGCCTGTTCATTCTGTGTCAATTCACTCCATAACACATATCTATGTACATACGCCACTTTTGCAACTGCCATAATTGGCAAGTGTGTAAGATATGCAACCAGATTTTAAACTTATTAAATTTAAATGCACTATATAGTATAATTATTCCTTCAGATAATCCGTGCTATACAGTAAAGCTTGACCATTGCGTGGATCTACTCGCATACTCTGATGTGCATACTTCCGTTTATTATACAAAATGATTTTTGCCCATTAATGTTGAAAAGCCTTAACCTTTCAGGATGCATACATATACCACACTGACTGAATTATGTATGTATGTGTAAGGATCAAATTCTCCCAAAATTAGAAAATGCGTCAATACAATAATAAGTATATCACGTATTTGAAGGAAGTAATTATTATTTCGTCTCATTTTTATATTTCACTTAAAACTACATACTAAACTCATGTATGTACAGACACCCACTCCTCCACAAAAGTTAATAAATACAGGTGCTCGAGTTTATTGCCTCTTAATCGACGTCGCAAATTTGATCTAGTTCAATATTTACAAGAGTTCAAAAAGTTTGGGTAATTCCCAACTTTTTTTGATAAAATGGTTAACATTTTTGTAAACCGTGCCACCCTGGTGGTCGTGCTATTTGCATTTCTCTCGGAAAAAAGTGCGTCCAGTGTTCCCGTCGTGAAAAAGGACGCTGTTTCCTTTGACACCCCAGTTTTGCAACTTGATCACTTTGAGTCTCCTGCAGATGATCATCACCTCAGCAGTATTATCGATCCCATTCAGCACGAAGAATCCAGTCCCAAAACCGTGAGGAGTATTGCGGCCAGTGCAAATAATAATATGGCGAGTACCGCCGACTCTGGGATGTCACTCCTCCAAGCGTTAACCCATATTCAAACCATTGCTCAAAATTCCGGTGTCAACTTGAACAGTGATCCAGGTTCTCCGCAAAGCAGTGTGGTCGATGTGCAAAATCAAATTAAGAGATTGAAAGAACAAGTCGAACTTTACCGCATGATTAACGACATGCTCAAGGCGGAGACAGTGGTCCAGGCGCAACCGTACTCGATTGACACGAATGAAGGCACAAACAATGCGTCACAAGCTCAATCCGTTGCTGAAGTACCGGCAACGTCGACGACGACAACAACGACGACGACAAGGCCACAATCACGATCACCACCCACACCTACGCAGAAAAGGAGACAAAATGTTCGTCAAAAACAAAACATCGTTACCGTCCAGCCTCCAGTTATTCCGACCGTTCAACCACCTCAGTTTGACCATTTCGAGGATGAACGCCACCATCTAAGAGATTACGATGACGACTATCCTCATCACAATAATAACCACCATTCTGAATATGACGACGCTCGCAACGCTCGCCCACAACCAAATTATCATGATGACCAATACAACAATTATGACGATTATGACCATCACCCCGAGAGGAACTATCACCATTATCAAGACCAACGCCCAACAATACCAAAATCTGGGCAAAATATCAGACAACGAAAATTCAAACGGGACAATTAATCGTATTTTTTGGGTCAAGTTATGCCAGTATGATAATTAAACCAGCAATTTTTATGTGATTTCGTCCTATTAAATTGTATTATGCTTAAATACCACCAACTCTGAGGGCTATTTGTACTTGTCTTTACGGTGTTCTTTCTCATGTTTGTATTACATGTTGTAAATATTACCATGTTTTTTTGGTGAATTCTAGTCTTGAATAAGTATGTCTTTTAAATAAATGAGCTGCCAGGATTTACGTATTTTAAATATTTTTTGCTGAATGGAAAAATAATTTGGTTTTATTCTCTGATTTTTGAAATTTGTAATGTGTTTAAGCCAATGTTTGTAAAGTGCAATTTGTCACTGAACTGTATATAAATACTCAAGTCGGATAAATAAAGATAATTTTGAGCTAAAAATTATTTCGGGTACAAAAGGAAGGAATTAAGGAGTTTTAACGTCTGCCAAACCCCAGACCACCCAAGCCGTAACCACCGTAGCCTTTAAATCAATTAAATACAAATTAGACCTTTAAACAAGTTTCAAACCTTTAAACAGGTTTAAGTTTCATAATTATAAATTTTTACCTCCGTAACCTGTAATAAAATCATCAAAATTAATAATCAGGATTAAACAAAATTGGAATAGCATTTAAGTAGCAATAAAGTACCCCCATATCCAAGTCCGCCGAAACCACCAAGACCTACAAATTAACATTTTTTTAAATTGGGTTTGCACCCGAGCCAGGAATTATGGTGGCGATGCTACTTTTCTAATTTTTTTCAGAATACCACGAAGATTCATGGCTCGGACTATATCACGTATGTAAATTTTTGCATACCCCCAAGACCAAGCCCTAGGCCACCACCTAAAATTAAAAATAGTTAAATAATAATAGTTAATTCTAATAATAATAATAATATAATAATAATAATAATAATAATTTAATAATAATAGTTAAAAAATAGTTAATTAAAAATAGTTAATGATTACGAATAATTAAAAATCTAACCCCCAAAATTATAGAAAATCTCATTCTAACCATATAGGCCATATCCAAGACCAAACGAATTTTCAGCTTGGAGCGTCTCTTTCTTTTCTTCGGCAGGGTGTGCCAATGTTGCTACGATGGCGATGGCGACAAGGAAGGCAACCTAATTTCCCAAGAAAACTTATGTTCCAAAATTTCAGGAATTTGTATAAAATAATCCAGTTACTCACAATGAATTTGGCCATTTTAAGTATAGCGTAGGGTATTCTTTGCAGATTGCAGGTTAAGCTGGAAGGTTTACTGATTGAAGTCAGAACTCGATACTGAATAAGTCACAGACTTTCCGCAGTTTATATACAAATTTTTAGATGAGAATCAATCCATAAAAAAATCTTCCCTGGACTATCCATTCAAACATTATTGTACACAAATTAGTGGTTTTTAATGCATTATAATATGCACAATAACCTGGAGGAAAGACGCGACGCGATCAAGTGGTTCACATCACACACCACCTTTTTTCGCATCTTATCCAAATTATTGTCAATCGAAGTCACATTATGCCATGAAATCTTAACTTTTTTGTCTCTTCATACATCCACCAGCGTAAACATTTATGGGAGTTGTTAAATCATTTCTTGTTTATTACGGATGTCTCAAAAAATGGAGGATAATCGTTTCATGTGTACACATTTACTCTCTTCTGAGGTTAACAATAGTGGTGGTGACACGCTGTTGACATTCTCCTGCTGTACATATATTGCATTCGCATTTTAATGGCGTACTGTCCCAATTATTCGCGATGGCACGCAACGTTTCTTGAATCATCAAAAGAAATTCATGCGTGAAGAACAATACAATTCCTGGATTCAATCAGTATATAGCTTTTGTTGGAGTTTGGTTATGATAAATATCTAACCCATCCATCCATCCATCGATCCCTCCTCATCCTAGGATTAGTTTAAGCACCAAGTTATTGTCAGTCACCGTGTAAAATAAACTGTCAAGTTCTATGTCGAAGGAAGAGGATGTGATTTGTAATGCTTGTTGTTGTGTGTGAGTCTCAATATTGAAAACCAAGACACAAAACAGCCTTCAACCTGAGAATGAGAATTTACACCTACTACTAACACACACATTATCCCCGACACGTACCAGACAAATTCATTGTCATGCAAAAAAAATGCGAGAATTTATATTGTTCAGGCTGACTTAGTGTCAGAGCTCGGCGGATATCATGGATATTGGAGGTTTGGAGGTTGGAGGGTGAGAATTTTTCATGGATATTGGAAGGTGGAGGTTGGAGGGTGAGAATTTGAGATGGATATTGGAGGGTGGAGGTTGGAGGGCGAGAATTTGAGATGGATATTGGAGGGTGGAGGTTGGAGGGCGAGAATTTGAGATGGATATTGGAGGGTGGAGGTTGGAGGGCGAGAATTTGAGATGGATATTGGAGGGTGGAGGTTGGAGGGCGAGAATTTGAGATGGATATTGGAGGGTGGAGGTTGGAGGTTGGAGGGCGAGGATTTGGCCTGGATATTGGAGGTTGGAGGTTGGAGGTTGGAGGGCGAGGATTTGGCCCGGATATCGGATATTTGGAGGTTGGAGGGCGAGAATTTAACATGTTGAACCTCCATGGATATTGGAGGTTGGAGGGCGAGATTTTGGGATGGATATTGGAGGGTGGAGGTTGGAGGGCGAGATTTTGGCCCGGATATGGATATATATCCGGATATTTGGAGGTTTTCGCCCGATATCCGCCGAGCTCTGCTTAGTGTCAATTTCAGTCTAGATTTTTCCAGTTTGCTTGTATGTTTTTTACCTTATCATCATGCCAGATAATCCAATAAAGTCGTAATAATAATGATAATATGTATAAAATAATTGATATATTGTGGTAACATAACGGCAGACATTTAGACGAATGAATGAGGCGAGGAGAAGGAATATTAGTAACGTATAAATAGTTAATGGTACCATGCACACGAGTCATACATGCCTACGTAAATATACACCTTAAACCTTCAATTATCTGTTTTAATGATGCTTTGTCATTGTTTTGTCTCTGTTTTTCAAGCTTGGACAAAGTCGTAATTGTCTCAGAATTCAGATTATGCAACAAGTTCAAGACGTTCGGTCGATTATCGGTTATCATTTTGTAGATAAACATGATTTCTTTTATTGTGCACAGAATTTTATAAAAATTTCCTATTCCTCTTATTAAAATTACGTAATTGTTTGTTTATTTTCCTCACAACGTTTAAACCTAGGTCGAACAGTAGCATGTACTTTATGTGTCATTGGGCATTCGAGCATTACTACTAACTAACTAACTATGGTTAAAACTTGTATAATTACTGGCTGAATCATTAATTATAAAACACGCTTATTTAACGCACCTCTGCGATATTTATATGTTTCCTTAAATCTTAAAATTCTGTTTATGCTGCTGCTGCTACCATTTGCCATTGACACGAAATTGCTATTAGACGTGCGTGTCGAGTAAATAAATTCTTTGTTTGTTTGTAAAAGAAAGAATTTGTCACAATGAGTCAAGTCACGTGTGAATTGAATTTCAAAACAGTGCATACATACGTCTCAAAATTAAAACAATGAGACAGACATTTGCACAAGAATTTTATTTGCTCCCAAAATAAAATAAGTGTCCATCCTTTATCTATTATCTAGCTTCCTGCACTTTTGTAAATGCGTAGCCTCAACATTTAGTTGAAGGTGATGGGAGGATACATACATGTTCCCAATAATTGCAAAATTTTGGTCGTCGTTCGCATATGTGCAAGGTCACCATTATTAAAAATTATTGTAATCATAATCATAAACTTTAATATGTACCACTGCTACCTACTGCTACCCTATGGAACATATAATAATCTTCAAAAAAATGTCTTGATAATAATAACACTTTTTATGTATGTAAGTATGATGGTAATAAAATAATTACTTTATAACTTTGAGGCAAAATTTCATCCATAGTTTTTTAGACATGACATAACATGACTAAAACATTCAAAATAATAGTTTTTGGCAAGTATTTCTCAATTCGTGTGGTATTAAAGAAATGCATGCATAAATGTTGAAATATTGTCATAATCATATCAAAAATCAATCACCATAATATATAAATAGCCCATTAATTAAGGATTTAGGTTCATGTTAGGCATTTGGCACATCGTCACTCACTTATTAAATGAATGACCACCACGAACGAGACGCAATGCAAATGAACGGTGTGACATGACATTGTAGCTCGTTAATTATTTTACTCCAAGCTTAAACACTGCATCGTAATTAAGTTGGACTCGGGTTCTGTTTTGGTAAGTAAATCAAGTAAATGGTGATTTTGAGTAATTTTATTCTATTACTGCTGCTCTTTTGCGTGTTCATTTGTACCCAAAGGCGATTCATTATTATGTATGTATATGAGTGCAAAAGTGATAATCTGTGTGACAAAAAGAACAAAAAGTATGTCTCCACAACTCCACCAGCACTACCACCACCATTTCTTTGATAATGCATAATGGGGGGATGTGGAGAGGCCCTTCTACGTACTTATCCACCCAGCAACCTAAATGACTCTGATCCTGATCTGAATTCTTAACACACACAATGCAACAAGACAATTACTCCTTGGAGAATATTATGTAAAGTGCGTGTGAGCATAATGTCCACAATTCGTATAAAAAGTGCAAGTCGTTCTACAAAAGATATCATTCACTTGTTCCCCTTTGGTCAAACAATTATCCAACTGTTTTCTCACGACTTTTGTGGTCAACCCCACTAAAAACTTAACAAAATGAACAAAATTTTGGTAAGATTTTAAGACAACATGTTTCCATTTTTCTGATGTTTTGCGACATTTTAATAAACTTCAGTAAACAGTAAACAGTAAACATTAAGAAGAGGGAAATAGGAAAAGTAATAATTCCTCTGATTTTTTTGACATGCAGGCTATCGTTTTCTTGGCTGTCATCGCCTTGGCGTTTGCTGCCCCTGCGGAAGAAGAGAAGAAGAAGGATGATTTGCAAACTGCTGCTGGAGGATTCGGTAAGTTTGAATTGTTAAATGTACAATGATTATCTGAAATATCTAATAATGGCTTATCATAAGGGTACGGCGGTTTGTATGGCGGAGGTCTCGGTTTCGGGGGATATGGAGGTATGAATCGTTTTGCTACTAATTTTCAAAAACTTAATATACTACTGGTTATTAATTTTCATATTTTTCATTTTTCAGGTTACGGAGGTACGGTACCTGTAGTGCAAAAACTTATAGTGCAGCCTGAGCCAGTTATTTCGAGTACCTCCCAATCATAATTGTTCATTGCTTACCTACCTGTCAATTACCCTACTATTTGATATATCTCGGCCATTTTCTAATTTGATTTCTCACTTTCCCCCTCTGTACTGCTTTTCGAGTCGATCGGATAAGTTTTGCATGCAACCGGAGAGACAGAGTTCTGGCTCGGGCTACAATTAAATTTACATTCATTTCACATTTATTTTTAAATAAACAGGCTACGGACTTGGTGGGTATGGACTCGGATATGGGTTGGGTGGCTTTGGTAAGCAATTAAAATTGTACTATTAACAATATTTATGATGTTATAATATTTTATTTTTAATTTCTAGGTGGATACGGTGAGAATTCTACAACATAGCCCGTTGGCGTCTACCAATAGTATTTCTCAAAAGTTATAATGAACATTTTATTTTTATTTTAGGCGGATACGGTGAGAATTCTGCCATGCCATGATCCCTGGCAAAACCAGGTCAACAATATTTATGAAGTCAATTAACTATTTAATTTTTAATAGGTGGGTACGGTGGATACGGTGGGGGGTTCTATGGTCGTTAAAAAATTGTCCCCTTAATTCCTTCCTCCTCCTCCCAAATATCCTTCCCTTATTATCGAACCTAACTCCCTTCCTGATCATGACATTGTCCAGCCAGATTTTTACAACACTTGCTTACGCCAAAAATTAGTCAAGTCTTTTTTTTACTACAAAAATTCCTAAAACCAAAATGGCCAGTTGGCACTCAAATTATTTTGTGATACTACAAACTAAAATTATTACGATTTGAACAAAATTCGACGAAAAGATTATATGAAATAAATTATTTATTCTTGTTCCAAATTTTTTCACAGTGTTCACAATTGCTGATTCATTATCATTATGTCATCTAAATACTACTACAGAGATTTCATGTTTGTATGAAGCTTGCAAGAACAGTGATCAAAAATAACAATGCAATTTTTTATGTATTTCTGTTGAGGCATGTGTATCATCATCATCCACCCACTAGATTGTCCATCGAGATTATGCACATTATAAGAACATTTTTGAAATTTTTAATATAAGCCAATGTTTGTAAAGTGCATTTTATCACTGAAGTGTATATAAATACTCAAGTCGGATAAATAAAGCTAATTTTGAGCTAAAAATTATTTCAGGTATAAAATTAAGCATTTTAACGACCACAACCTAGGATGTGCCCGGTTGCACAGTGTAACTTACACTAGTCACTAGTAAATCGTCTCAAGCCGACATTTGTCAAATATTAATGGGAAAGTAGACTTTACTTTTCACCACTTCATGACCACAATAACTTCCTGCTGGAAGCGAAAAATTAACGGGACACTGACATCCCTCGATGTATTTGGAATTCACGGTCAAAAATATGCTATTTCAATTCAGAAGAATAGATAAAGTTATGAGACTGGAAAAATACGAATTCTGTTGAATTTTTTAGAAATAATTATTTCCGATTTTTGACATTTTTGTGATTGATTAAAAATTAAGTGGAAAAAGGTCTGGTACATTTACAAGTCATTTTTATTGTCTGGATCGATTGATGACGTTTCATGAATTTGAATTTAATTGACCTTTATGAATGAATCCTAATTGTTAAATGTTAAATATGCAAATTTACGCTTGAATGAAATGAAACTGAGAACAAGTAAGTAATTTTATGTTGCGTACATACTTTGTGTTTTATTATATTACAGAAACAATTTAGGATCATGATCAATGTTGGCTGGTTGAGTATATTTTCATATATTGTAAAACAAACTTGAATAGAACGTTCACGGGTTTTTGAAGGGACGAGACTTAAATATGAGAATTAAATACTGTTCTAATATTAGTAAGGGTTGCATTGCAGTCTCACAAAAAACAATAATAGTGGGCACAATTTTGAGATTGTTTCGAATTGATGGCATCATCAGGTATAAGAAATATGTTCTGGATCTGTTATTATTAAATACTTCTTTTCTGATACAAATATTAGTAGACATCTCTACGGTTTTCGAGTATAATACTTGAGTTTAGTGAAAAATTGTTAGCTTTCTGCAACCACGGTCGCTTTTGTCAGGCAAATACATATACATAAGCATCTTGATAATCATACTTTTACAATGGTGTCACTTATAAATAAATACGTCAATGTGTACAAATATCCCGAGTAAAAATTTGAGCAGATTTCCTGCAGAAAATTGGACCAATTTTATATAAGCTTTATGCATAGAGATTTATGAAGAAACCTATGCAGAATTATGCAAAATTATGCACATATGGTTCTGCAGAATAGTAGCGACGCAAATTTTCTGAAGGATTATGTACAAAAATTATGCATAATACAATATGCATAGGGTTTTTGTCAATTTCTACAGAATTCGACACAGAGATTTCTACTCGGGATAGGAAAGAACTAAATATATAATTGGTACTAATTGTCAATCTGGTAACTGGGATATGAATCATCCTCTGTTCGTGCGTGCGAAAAATTGTCATAAAATGCAATTAGTATTTAATATTAAGTGTACAAAATATTTGAATATTATATACAAGGGATATGTGATGGGTTATTGACACCATGATGGACTGTTTTCTCCAGGTCGGCCATGATGCATTGCCCTGACATGAGTGTTTAAATCGGCTTTCCTTCCGAACTTCCGCCCACAAAGATCACAGGTGAACTTTTTCATGATGGACTACGTCAACCTGCGTGTTGAGGAGGCTCTTCTTTACGAATTTCTTGTCGCACAGAACATGGGAATTTCTTGACCCCCTCATGTCCTGTCCTCTTGTAGTGGTCTAGCTCTCCTTTTGTGCCGAAGCTTTTGGCACACATCACAAGCAAAGACCTTGATGCCATGATGGACGGTTTTAGCATGGGTGGTTAGATGGCCTTAAGGTCTTGCCGCAAACGTAAAGTCCCTGACCCCTTCATGCACTGTCCTCTTGTGGTGGTTTAGGTCTCCTTTGGTTCCGAAGTTTTTGGCACAAACATCACAAGCAAAGTCCTTGATGCCATGCTGGACTGTCTTCTTGCGATGGTCGAGATCTCATTTTGTGAGAAACAACTCTACATGTTTCGCAGAGGAACGGCTTTTCCAGAGTATGCGTTCTGATATGAGCGACCAGTTGACTGGGTTTGTTGCAGAACCTTCCACAAGTTTCGCAGATGCACTTGCCAAATCCATGACGGGACTTTATGTGGAGCCGGAAAGATGAGGGTGGTGTTTCGAATTCTTGATCAAGATCGTTACATTTGCAGGTCATGCACTCTATATGTTCTTCCGGACTATAGTCCAACACAGAAGCACTTGGGACAGTAGGAAAGATTTCCTTCAGATATTCTGTTGACCAAATACTGTCAGGTGCCGATTCTGAAGGATCAAAAAGGTCTCTACGTTGGTTCAGAGTATAGGGGTCCACATTCCCAAGAGCAAGTTGAAATTCCAGATCTTCATGGACTTGCGTGCCAGCAAAATTGTCCATCTTCTGACTTTGATCCTCAAGGTATGGCGTTAGCGGCACGACAACTCGTTCCTCAACATCATAAACGAGTTTGTGATTGAAGGTAAAGATTGATTTTGCACATCTGTCTAGAAAGTCTGCCGGGATGGTCTTTTGAGGGAAGTCCTTTGCAAGACGTCCAACAATCTAAAACGATTCAAATGATTACATTAATTAAATAATCAATTAATAATTGAAAATTACCTCCTTGAGGTAATTGAAAGCTACCTCCTTGATACCCCCATGAAGGATGCTTCCTGACAATTTTCAGAATTGTCTCAATTCCGATGCCGGGGATATTTTTGGAATAGTCACATCCACTCAGCACGCATATCTGAATGATCTTGTCCCGAGTCAACACCTCGGGGTCCTTTATCCCGAAGCAGCTCGCAAGCAAGCAAGCAAGTTGACCATCAGCTTAGAAAAATACAATAAAACCTACAATTAGTTATAAATTATTTGTTTTACTACCCGGTTGCACTCATTACGTGGTAACAAATTACAACCATGGCGGTAGAGTCACACATATGTTGTCATCCCCAATGCCAATGTTAGCGGATTACTACCGGAGTAAGTACGTTTCTCTTGGCATCGGGCATGGGTTTGACCTGAATGCACTTGCCGCACTAGAATAGGATTTTGCCAAGCTTTATTCATACAAATTTCCCCCGTGACGGTGGAAAAGGTCGATGATGGGGTAAAAGCTTTTTCCTTCTTTCTGAGCTTGGCAATGTCTGTTTATTTTTCTTAAACTTACCTCGAACGGTGCCACCAAGATGTCGACGCCACGAAGTTTCCTGAGCTCGGAGAGACAATTCTCAAGGATGGATGGCCAAAGGCTGGTCACTGGTCCAGATGAGGTAGTGGTACCGTCGTGTCTTCTTTTACGGGCCTCCCTCCGGTCGTCCTGGGTCCTCTTCTTGGCGAGGAGACGACGGCCGCCGGCAACGACGACCACTTCGACACCACTGTTCACTAACATTTTGATGTATTTTGTGACGTAGCCTTGGGTTCGGAGGTCCTTGTTCCCATCCGGGATTTTCTGGCAAGAGCACAACCCCTTGTAGAAATAACAGAAAATGTCCACCCGCACGACCCATCCCTTTATTTGTCCTACATGTACGGATTCACAAGAGTCCTTAATCTTAGGATAGAGTCTGGGCCAACCATTTTGAATATTTTTTCTGATTTTTTTAATAGTTTTATAAAAATCAGAAAATATTTGAATACCTTGTTTATCCACACTGTGTGCACTCGGTGGTCCTCCTCCACTCAGTCATGCAACCGGGAACCAGCAGTCGTCAGTCCAGTAGTGCTGGGAGCGGTATACAATCAGGGACAAGATAACGCTGATTTTCTTAAATTTCACCTCGTGAACAGTGTCGTTCTTCAAAACGTCGCCACGTGTGCACGCTCATCTCAGCCCGGGCTTCCAGGAGCGCATCCGGTGTGCAACTTTTACATGAGGTTAATAAGTTCATACGTAAATAAAAATTATAGTTATAATAATGACCTTTGAGCAACTCAAATTTGTTTGGCTGGACGGTGCCCATGGGTGTCTTCTCGATGTTGCAAGGTTCCATCATAGCCGCCAGTACTTTTGTTACACCAATCTCTAGACTAATTAGCCTTACTCCAGCTTGTCCTTGTCCGGTGGAGCTCCTCCAAGTCTGAGACATATAGGCCGACGTCATACAGAGATGACTCCAGCTTGCGCATGTTGATTATCGACGAAGCTCCTCCAACCTATAAAAAAATTGCCAAAAGTGTAATATTGTTTTACGGCTTTCAAAAATACAATAAACAACTAATCATGTAGTTATCAACTAACGCTTTGGGGATATTCAAGTAGAATTTGCAGCAAAAAATTGTAATATTTATTTTATTTATTTCTTAGCTCGTTTTCAACAGAGTTTCGTTCCCTACAATTAGTTTTCATCTGATGCTCATCAACTCAAAGAGTAAATAATTCGTGACATATTTATAAATAAATTAAAATTATTAGCCTCCCCATTTTTTCAATTTTGATGTATGGAAGAAGAACATAGAAATTATTTTAATTTGCTTTACATCGAGTCTAAGAGCATGTATTTTACGACAAGGTTAAATAAAGATAATTCAAATCATAAATAAATTTAAATAGATAAATTTTTAAATAGGAATTACAGAAAAAGTACCCTTAAAAATTAGGTTAGGTTTCAGATTTTGCACAATTTAAGCAGGTTATCCTTCTCAATTGGATTTATTATACACTCTACCTTACTTATCCATCTCTCCATATTTTGAATTCAATCGAATAAAGCCGTTTAACAGCTTGTAAAAATTATTTTAAGCCAA